CTCGGGCCTTGCATTCAGCAAAGTCAACACGTTCATAGGGAGCAAGAACAAGTAATTTAGTTCCCAGCATCTATCAAAACATTGTAGAGTGTAAAATTACTGTGTCAATATTTGCACAACTGAAAATGTAATAAAAATGTATAAAGCATAAAAATACAGGCTTTCCTCTAGTCCACTTTACTGTAATCCTGTCAATATAAGTACCCAGTGTAACATAGAGGAGGGCCCTCTAAGGTAGTTTTCTCAACTGGGTCCCAGGTGCTGCCCTGCCTGCCATATTCAAATTCGAACATTAATGTGGAGTCAAATCACTGAAATCGATGACGATTGTTGTTTACCAGGTTTTTATTTCTTTAAACCGTGTCTGACAGGTCCTCTCTGTGTTCTTATTGTGATGTGACCCTCAGCTTTGAAGCAGACTGTGTTGATGATAGATGAATTATACCAACAAAAGAGTAAAGCACACCACTAAGTAACAACTGTATATTAAGTAACAGTACAGTAAAACCTATAAAATGTTTTTATAAAACACAAGTATGTAAAAGGGTGAGTTTCCAGAGGTCCAATGCTTTAGAGACAAAGTCCTTCACAGTAAGAGCTTCAAGTAACACTTCCATCACCACTGGTCCTTGCACGTTCATTTTAAAAAGAATAAAAAAAATCTAACAAAATAAAATAAGTGCACATTTAGAGTACTCCACGAAACTAATCTGGTCCAGTAAAATGTTCAAATATGGCACAAATGATATTAATAAATAATCTGTGCTGATATAAGCACAATGTTTGACATGCCACTAGTAACACATGAATTACAAACTCATATGAACACAAACAACAGTGCGAGTCAGACTTTGGCCGAGGGGATTAGATATAAATAGTGAAAAGGAAAAAAAAGTCTCCCTCTGCGCCACACTCTGCACAGACACCATCTTCTTCACCCCTTCGTCTTGACAGGATTCAAACCAGGCAGGTGAAGAAGAGCAGCCACACTTCCTGTGACGCTGCCCATCTCTGCAGGCTGGGTCACGCTGCTCTGCCCTCTAACCCTGGATCTGCCCTGATGTCTGGCCTTCTGTGACGGGACCTGGACAGACACATGTTGCATCTGTGGGGGGAGGGGGAAGTATGCAGTGCAGAGCAAAGAAGACACATCTCTGTGGCTCTGTATGCAGATGGGCTGGTAAAGCAATCTTACACCTCCAGGTCCGTCTCTCTGTTTCCTCCTCGCTCTAGGGAAGAAAGAAGTTGATCCTCTGAGGTATGGACTTGCATCCTTGGGCTGAGAACAGTCTCTCCTCTTTGGGAACATACAGCATTGCCTTGGCCACCTCATCCAGCGTGGCTTCATCTGTTTCCAGACCTCGTGCTGCGTATGCGTCCCGTGCACAGAGCTTAATGTGACGGTACTCCAGGGGCAGAAAGGGCACAAAGAAGTCAATCAGGTGACCAGACATCAGCTCACTCTGAGCAAAGCCACCTGGGATATTAAAACAAAACAGGAAATAGAAACATATTTAACGTTTTAACAATGTGTTTTGGTTCTTTTTTATCATACGCTGTATATAAAAGATGGCATTCATGCAGTTTTCTTCCAGGTATGAAAAATAAAGCCAGTGTACTGATTCTTTGGTCAGCAGGGGGGCAATTCCTGAGGTGGTCTGTGACCTCGGTCATCACTTTCCTGCTAATTTTGTAACCAGAAACATAAACATGGTATGTTTTAACATGTGATTAACCACGTGAGTAATGAAGTTGTTAACCAGTAAGTGTACAAAATCCACCCCTCACTCATGAGTACCAGATTCAAAGATGAGGCTTCACAATAGGACCTCACTAACCCATGGGTAACACTATGCTGGTCTAAGCTGTTTTTATATTACTTTAGCGGCTTTCAGCAAATAATTTCAAGCCACTGAGCAACCAGAACACCCGAGTAACTTAATGGCTTAAAAAAAGGCTCAAAGCTTAAGAAAACCCACCAGGCAACCTTTACAAAAACTTTACTGCTCACCTTGAGACTCCATAGTCTCAGCTCGCAGCCGATGCTCCAGGTCTTCCATACCGATGTCCTCTCGATTCTGGCCAGAGTGCCAGAAGTCCAGCGCCACGTCGTTGATTGTTGCACCACCAATGTTACTGCAGTGACAACAGCAAAAACACAACATTATATGTCTACAGCTGCTGAGCTTCTCAGGGAGACTCGATTCTTTCTGGTTTGGCAGCAAAGTTTCTTTAATACAAGTTGCTCTTAGATAAATGATCACAGTTCAAAGATGGCCAGTAATTCACTCACATCTCTGAACCATAACTGTTGAGTGAAAAACGGCTTTTTCTATTTTTGACTGAACAGACTGTTAGTCAGGACAAATCTGACTTGAGGAATTGAAAACATGAAAAATCCATACAGCTCATCCTTCACCACTGATGAGCTGCCAGGCTATCTGGACAGGAAGTGCACAGAGAGCTTTACAGCTTCATCAAACTGTGCCTGAAACAGTCAGCTAACCTGAGGAAGAGGAAGATGGCCCTGCGGTAGCTGACCCCATCTACGTTGTCATAGTGATCCATGAAGGGCTTGATTGCGTCGATGAGGCCCGGATGAAGCTTTTCAGCCTCATCGAAGATGAACAGAGTCTGAGGGCAGCGCAGCACCATGTCTCGAATTGCTTCTCTCAGCTGACCCTGGATTTCAGGCAAAAAACAAACAAAAAACATAAGTCAAACATTATTATCATTTTATAACATTTCAGATCTGACAAAAGCTGATTATTATTTCCTTTCAAGCTTGATATATAAAGATACTAAACTGGGCATAAAATATTACAAACTGAGATAACTTAAACCAACAGCCGACATTTATCTAGAATGTTTTAATCTTTTTAAACGAATATATAAATGTGCCATTGTTGGTAAAAGTTCTTTAAAAGAATTAGCCCTGTTATATGCCACAGAGGTTCAGTGGGTACACTACAACACGTAGACACGTTAAAGTCCACATTTGCACACTTTGCAGACTTGAGGGCATGAGGGTAGAGGTTATCCCGTGAACTGCATATACCTATTTATATTTGGATAGCTCTGTACTATGCACCATGTATTAATGCTATGTAAACACAATTTTGAAATCAGCTGCAGTGACTGTGAAAAAATGCGCTCAAATGAGACTGAGCTGGCACCTCTGACCCGGTTGGACAAACGTCAGGTTCCAAACATCCATTTCTCTGAGTATTTGTGTCGCAGCATCAGTGTTGACTTAAAGCATCTGTCCAAACCATGACTGCTATCACTCTTATGATGAATTACAACACAGAATAAATATCTATGTAAGCAAAGCAGCGTCCAGAGAACACAGGTACATGTTCCTGGCACAGGACGGCCATCGCTGTGCCAAGTGGGCTCACCTTGTACGTGTCCACCAGCCTGGCGTGCGGGAAGTGGAACGGGGCGATGAACAAACGGACACACTCGCTCTTCACCCCGTCCCGGTACAAGTTATCAGCAATGATCCGGGCCACAAAGTTCTTGCCTGTGCCGGACCAGCCGTGGAAGGAGAGCGTCAGGGGCTTGTTGGACTCGGGGTTGTTGATGAAACCCTGGATGGCTTTCAGAACCACGGACTGAGCCAGATGTTGCCCGTGGAGCTTCGTCTGAAGGTCTCTTGCTAGACCTGCACATGAGACCATAGATTTTTGATTTTAAAGGCACCGGCAAATATGAATAAAGTGCTCTGTGTTAAAATGTCTACTTTTAAAATATGTGATATAGCCAATAAAACGTAAAGTTGTTAAAGGGCTGCATCAGGCACTGAAGCTAAAGCCCTTATCAGATGATGAGTAACTGTGTGCAGTGTTGGGTGAATTCACAGACAGACGATTACAAAGAATAATGAGGGGAAACGACCAACACACGCTTGGGGCAAAGCGGGCAGCCACAGAGCAGCAGTGCGATACCTGTGATGTTGTTGGTTATCCTGCAGTCTCCGGACTCGCAGCACTGACCCAGGCTACAGTACCACTGATGCAGCAGGCTCATGTAGTCCTGAGGAAACCCTGCCCAGATATCCCTGGTAGGAACTGCTCGCATCACAAGAGCAGGGCGAGAGAAGTCCGTGTTTATAACAGTGTAATAACGAATCGTAAAAATAAAAATATTGCAAAATGCGCACGAGGCACGATGTAGCTTGCGAAATGAGCGCTTTCGTTATAAAATGGTTTTAATTTCTTTTACCATCTCTTACCTTGCTGGGTGGCATCATCCTGATTGGGCTGACACTCCCCCTCCCAGATATTGCAATAAATATAATTAAAATAGTAAGTAGAGACGTTGCTAATGCTATCGAAATGGAAGAAGTCGGCCTGTGCCGAGACAGCCCAGAGCAGCAGGAGAAAGCACCGCGCAGACATCGCGAACAGGCTGACGTGAAGCGGTCCAAACGACACTGAACACGAAGCCCCGTTTCTGCTCTCCCATTTATCTGAACGCGGTGGTCCACCGGCGGCCTGCTTTGACTGGGATACCCCTCCCCGCCCCCGACAACGTCTCCCTGCTGAAGCCAAAGAGGGGCGCTTGTTGTGCGGTTTGCCGCGGGCGGGCGGAGGGGCGGTTACTACCCCATTCCCTACTGCTCACGTCAAATTTGATTGGAGCCATTTTAAATGGGAGCGAAGCCTGTACTGCAACGCCATACGGCAAATGTCACGCTACCGAGGTAAGAGGCTTGCGTGTCCACAAACAACCCACGGTCAGCAACGCCAGCTAGATATTCCCGCCTTTGGGAGGTCAGCAAGTGACCAAATCGAACTCCTTTCCATTAAATAACGTCACTTCCGTCGAAAAGTCGTACACTTGTTCTCAATCTTATTTACTTTTCATAGTTGTGTCATTAGACTTTACTACGCCACTGTTTGCACAACTGGTTTAGTAATATAAGATCAGTTCATTTGGCGCTCATACACGTCACCCATCGAGAAAGGGAGGAGAAAAACAGATGCACACAAATGAGTCAATAACAAATATTTTATTGTTACAAATTGAAGTCAACAGGATCAGGTCACAATCCAGACGTAATAGCACGAGCAGGGTCTGAACACCGATTCCTGCAGGTGAAAATCTGTCAACATCACTTTCCAGCTTTTGAGGAAACAGCACCATTTAGATTTATTATGAAGTGACAGACTTGTGCTTGATTGTGCTTCAGTGTCTGAGGCTTCACACCTGTGTAGAGAAGAAATCATTAAAATACAAGTACAGACTACTAACAGAAGAGTTAACTAGCAGTTAATGACCACATGACCTCAGAAAAAAATGGAACGGTAAGGGTTATAATCAGCTTAAGTCATCTGGCAAAATCAGATCATCACTAGTCTTGTGGCCACCTTAAATAATTGTGATTCAGGACTGGACAAAAACACTCACCAGGTAAAGAACTTGAACTTTTCCCCATCTGAAAAAGAAGAATGAAAAACCTTATTACAAGTCAGCGACTGGCTGATTCATATTTTATTCACTGGGTTGCTCAGTGACAGACTGTCCACATGAGTGTTCAGGTCAGACATTTGTTGTAACATCACTGAACCCCTTATGACCATCGTGCACTTTTAAGTCAGTTTTCTCACCTCAGTCACTCTGGTGTGGTCCACACTGGGTCTCCATCCCTCACACAGAACCTGAAGATATGAGAGCATCAGTCAAACATGCACATCAACTGCAAAGATGAAGGAGTCAACGCTGACCTGGTCAGCTAGAGCTAATAAACAGACTCCATGGTTTAAAGTCAGTCTGTACTTTGTCATCACACAGGCCAGACTACAAGGATCAAATGATCTTTACTGCAAGAAAGTGATCCCAGAAAATATGCAAGTGGCTCCTTCAGACCCAGCTCTATAAACCTCAACAGCACGGGGCCCATTCTGGGTCTGAGGAGCTAAAAATGACACGATTTCATACTCACCATGAGTGTTTAATCATCTTCTGAATGGTGATGAGTCGCGAGCCCGCTCGTTCTGTAAAAACAAATTAAGTTTCGGGTAAATTTACAGAACCATGCTCACTTTTTTCCCCCAACATTAAAAATCCAGATCAGAGTCTGTTACAAATTATCCTCAACTGGATCAGCGACCTGATTCAAACTCATCATATCTGAAAGCTGTTAGCTGCTGTGCAGGGATGTCACCAGAAATGATACCTAACGCTAACATTTGATACCAAAAAAAATAAATAAATCGGAGATCACGTGCTTTTCTTTGGTACTGCAGGCAGTGTATGTACTAAGCTGCCATATTTCTAGATACATTCTTACATAGAGGAAATCCAACAGCACAGGAAACACTACCTGTGGAAAAGGACCATTTATGCAGCCGCCATAATAGCTCCGCTTAAACTCATATGGCAGAGTTCGTATTTTGCTATGAATGATGTACTTTACACTTTTTAGGTGGAGTAAGCGATCAAAGAATGATGCAGTTTCATACAGTCCAAGCACCACAAGTTAACAAAGCACTTAAACTTCAAAGACTTAAAGCTGAGCAAGTTTTAATTCAAGGCATCATCCTGATGATGTTACCATTGAGACGGCTGTTATTTCATAGGTTAAATGGTTTGCTGTGGTAATTCTAGTCATGCTTATCCTTTTGTATAACAAGTCTATAAATGTGTAATTACCACACTATGCAATTTAGTCTGTGCCTTGTTAAAAGTGTTATTTGAGATAAATTATCTGCCACCATGTCAGTGTGTGAATGGTCATTTTGTCCATCAACTGTATTGACATGTGTAGTTCTATTGGTGCAGAGCATCAGGTTTGTGGTACTGTGACATCCCCGCTGCAGTGTTTGAGATTTAATGCTTACCAGCAGAGCAGCAACGAGTCAGACAGCAAGGTGTTCACATCTGAAGAGAAAGAACTAGATTATCACTTTGTTTTAAACACATCAGTGATTGTGGGACTACATAAGTTGATGCTCAGCTAGGAGCGAAAGACGATAGTTATTCTTCATAGTTTAATCTGTTGAACTATGCACTCATCACTGCATCGAGCTTCATTAAAAGAAACGTAGAGCAGGATTTCAACTCACCTCCACTTTGCCTTTTGTGGGACTCCTGAAAAAAAAAATAAATTAAATATATAAGTTTAGAAAGAACTCAAACCCAGTGACCCTCAAAGGTTGCAGAGGCCGACACATCAGCTAGGAGCGAAAGACAACAGTAATTCTTCACAGTTTAATCTGCTGAACTATGCACTCATCATTGCATCGAAACAGTTTTATTTTTACAGGCCGGCTCCTCAAAGAAAAAAACCTACCTGCAGCTGATCCAAGAATGCACATCTGGATCCAACATCAGGACCGTCTGCAAAGCACGAGAGACGCATCGTTGAAGAGTCCAAATTTTAACATGCATGTATGTAATATAGTTTTAACTGCATCAGAAAAAAGTCCTCTTTCACTCTTTTTCAGAGAGATTCCCATCGTTTTAAAAACAAAAGTCATCATTAACAGTTTCTTATGGTAACACATGATCAAGAATTTACATCCATTACCTGTTAGCGATAGGACTCGGACCTGAGGACACCTGTGGGTAAAAATAAAGTGATTAAAATGATATAAACTTTTAAGCTCACAGGTTGGGAGTAAGTAGTGCCTCAGATAATACAACTTGGTGGTTGGAGTATCATCACATCTTCTCAAGAGTAGCAAATAAGTGTCATCACAGGAGCACAAATTTATGGCAAAGACTGATGCTTCCCTGAGGTGTTAGCAGAGAAAACTACACGTGTGGATCAGGACTCCAGGAACAGCGTTACAAGTCAGTGTTGTGGCCAAATATTTAACATTTTCATTTAAAATAGATTTCCTGTTCATTTGTTGTACATTGTGTACAAATCACACTTTGCCAGTCAAATGAAAGCAGTAATATCCCCATTAGTTTTACATGCAAATATTAGTTTATCCATGCAAAGGCACACTGGGGTTATTAATACTTAGGTTTGAAATATTTGTAAATATGGCCCCGCACCCAAGCAATTAAAAAGGCACCTTCAATTTCAGCTTTAGGAATTTTATCATTATAGTTTGATTTAAGAGCAAGTGTAGTCTCTCCACAGCGAACACCTTAGAGAAGCACAAGTTTCCTCTGCAAACACTCATCCTCACCTCCTCAGTCCCCTACAGACCAGTCACATCTCTGGGCTTTCACAGCACCTGTAGAAACACTCTTGTTAGGACTATTACAATGAATGGGAAAAGCAAGAAACTCAAAGGAAAAACTATATATGGAAGTCTCAGTGTAGAAAATGCTCAGAAATCACTTCTGTCCACTACTCTTACACTTTAAATCATCACCGACGTCCATTTAGGGAAACAAAATAAAAAAATAACTAAAAATTCAGGGTTTAAAGCAGAATTCCTTACCATCAAGCATCTGCTGATGTCGAGAAGTCAGGATGAGCATCGTGATCCTTCATCTTTGAAGAGCCGTCTGTATTTTTGAGTGTTTTAAGTTGTTAATCTGTCAGATTTAACCCAAACACGACAGGAAGGTTAACATTTTTAATTAAAATCCTCATAACTTAACACAAAGTTATATACACCCACTAAATACGCTGCATGGCCAGCAGCAGGAGCCGTGCAGCTAAGCTAACCGGCCCACAGTTTCTCACAGCCTTTGCCCCGTCTTGTCAGGAATGTTGCCTTTACTTCACATCGACTCAGATGTCCCTAGCAACATTATGTCATCATATGTAAGCGGGACTAAACTGCACCGAGGCTGCTTTTAAAACAGGAGCTAACGATCCGCAGGCCAACACGCGATCTGTTGCACGTGGATGAGGCCTGCTAGGCTAACGCTTATTAGCTCTAAAGAGCTTCCACTTAAAAATGCCACCGAGTACAACGTTACCTACATGATAGGTTAACAGTTATTACTGCGGGCGTACAATAAAGTCAAAAACCACGAGACAAACACTAAAGCTGAAAAACTCCAACCAACTCACCAGTAAGTCGTCCGAGGAATGAGGCAGAGAAGCGGGCGCGAGGCGCTTTTATAGAAGCTACCGCACAGCCTGATGGGAAAAACATGGCTGGCTGAGCAGCGCCCCTGCTGGACGAGTCGGTCTGTGAACGCGCAACGTGTGCGACATGTTTTTGTATTTTAACTGAATACTTGTGCCCTGAAAAAACTCTGCTTTGATTCATTTGTAATTGTTCAGCTGCTCCCTTTAGGACTTCTCTCCTCTTCTGTCACACCAACCACCTGCATCTGCATTTCCACCTTCACAGGGAATGGATGGAGCTAGCTCCACATTCAACATCTGTCGTGTATCCACGGTTCCTCCGCACAGGTCTGCACAGGTCCAAACCAGCTCAGGTTCAACTGTTCAACCTCAACACTATCTTTAACTCCACTACCTTCCACTCCACCTCCTGTGCTGCCGTCTCCATCATCACAGGTCTCACTAGTAGCTTGTAAACCTTCCCTTTCTGTCACAAATCACCCCTGATACTCGCCTCCACCCACTCCACTCACACATGAGAGTCCTTGAGACTCCTGCCTGGCCTCATCTGTCAACCTGTCCACCACCACCGTAAACAAGAAGGGGCTGAGAGCAGCATCACCCCCTGCCTTGAACCCATCTCACTCCTATCTGATAATGAATATTGAGAGAGACTAACTTCTCTGAATGTTTAGCATTTAACATTCTGTTGGTTCTGCATACCATACCTGTAACCAAGACAGTTACCCATTCCCTGGTGTTTTTGACATAATCACCTCTGTATTATTTGTCTTACTGTTTCATCTTCTCACCCTACAGGCTGTTGGTGCCATATGTTTAGTCTCTTTTTAGCAACCACATGTAAATCATCTTGTGTACCATCATAGATGGCAGAGTTTTTCAGTGGTTCAGGATCAGCCAGACACTCTCTGGGCTTGCAAGCCCACCGTTTACCAGGATACTTAATGAAGAGAAACAGGACTTTTCTTTTCTTCATACTGCATCACCCTCTTCATACAGAACCACAGTTCCTCTCTATCACATGCTTCCTCTTTGAGGCACAAACAAGTACACAGGTACTAAAACTGTGTTACACAGTGTAATCAAAAAGCCTTTTAAAAAAAATTATTATTAAAAGGCTGAGATAGAAAAGCAAGGGTGACCGGTATATGTAAAAAATCTGCATTAACTGAGGTGAAATTTTAGATCCCAATGTTAATTTTCACTATTATGGATTGAAAAACGTATTTTTCCATAATGTAGGAGTCAAAGTACCCAGACTGATCCAAAAAATCCTCACATTAGTCTGTTTGCTTCTTAAATTGATGTAACTTTCTTGAACAACCTCCTCCTGCTGGAGCCTGCAGGCACACTGTGTCCTGCATTATTATTTAATCTGCAGGTCCCACCTCGCAGACGCGCCTCGTGTCAGGTTCTATTTTTAAAGTCCCTCGACACTTGCACAAGTGTTTTTGAAGTCCCTGCCGATAAAGAGCGCAGTGAGTTGGAAGAAGGGCCACGCTCTTCTGAGAATAAAAAGATGTCAACAAACTGAGTGCGCAAATATAGACTGGAGCGGGGTGTAGCATTTCCACCACGCTAAGTGCACCAAAGGGGCAATTTAAAAAAAATGTTTAATCAAACTGCTAAAATCAACAGAGCTCAGATATTTTTGATAGCTGGGTGTTTAATAAATAGTTATACATTTGATCCTGGAGGTGACAGGATACGTACACTAGGCTCAAAAGCAGTCCCCTGATAACCTACGAGGCTGAATAAACAGACTTCGTGTCACTTCAAGTAAACCAAACATCTCTGGGGTTTAGAGTCCGACTGAAAAAGAGAAAACACAGTGAGCAGCAGGTGTTTAGCTGGAAATGCCTTGTTAATGCCACACGTCAACTGTGTGATACCATCATGTCCATATGGACCAAAGTCCCTTGAGGAATGCTTCCCACACCTCGGTGAATCTACCCACAAAACAGGAAAAGGCGGTCCAACACGGCACCAGCGTGATTTGAGGGGAAGCATGACAAAAAGCTCACAGGAGTAAACTCATGGAGATTTAATATTTTGCATCAATAAACAGGAGAATTGGATACAATCAATGGTTATGATGAGAAGGAAATAAAAAATACATTTGTTTTGATTGCTCTCTATCAGGCAATACTGAGCAGAACTGAAATGAATGGCGAGGCCTCCACAAACACAAAACATGGGAAAAAAATACAAAGAAATTTCTTAGAATCCTTCATGTTGATTATTTTCAAAAGGCATTTTTGTCTGATTCTGATGAATTCAATTCAACAAGCGTTTCGCTGGTTTTGCATACAGCACCAACTATATGCTCGTCTCTGCAGATCCCTTCACCAGATACATGAATATATGGCTTAAAGGGTCTCACTGAACACAATGGCCAAATATTTAGGAGATACAATAATCAAATCACAAAGATTAAAAAGAAAAAGAAAAAAGAAGGGGGTCAACAGGGGGGCTGTTGTGAGCTTGCTACCGCATTTTCAGGCAAAGATAAATATATTTTTATTTCTTCATCTCATCCAACTACCATTGCATTCAGATCCAACCGATGCAGCTGCAAATAAGAGAAAGAACAATGGTTCAACAAAGCTGGGGGTGTACAGCAGGATAAATATGTGGTTCTGAAACTTGGAAAACAGAAGATTCAACCAGCAGAACAATGTCTGGACTGTAGCAGCACTATGAAAGTGCACCAGTATTTTTAAAGGCCGTCTCACGTTTTCGCTCTTCGCACTCCGACAACGTGCAAGCGAATAACGAGGCGCCCCACTCTGATCTGAAGGGAAAACGAGAACAAAACCAGACTTTACAGACTCAGTTCGAGCTTTACGTCCTCTTCATGGACCTGCTGTCCAGAAAGACAAAAGTATGTAAACAATCATTTGTTCATAAATGCCTTCAAAACCTTCTCAGAAGACTGTTTTGGTCTCTGTCCAGACAAAAGTCCCTTCAGCCTTTTCTCTAAACCTTTTTTTTGGCATAATGGACAGAATTTGTCCTCCCACAGGCAAACTTTGTTTTTTCTATCAGTATTGCATATTTGAAATCAGCCACAACTCCCGAAATCAGCGTTTAGATGCTATGGCTTTCTGCAGGGCTTCGTTTCTGGATAATACTCGAGACACAGAACAGCGAGAGTGATCCAAATGGGTGGCAAAGGTAACTCTGAAATGGGAACGAAACATTAAAAGGCTAAATGGAATGACTCCTAAGGATGTAAAGGTTCAGATTCAGATCCTCAAATATGTTTTTACACTATTGCCGCAAAGAAAAATAAACAATAAGAGCATTAGAAATAAAAAAAGAATATATATTTATATATCCATCATATGTATATCTATATATAAACAGTTCTAACTAGTTGCAGGCAAGCAGAGATTTTCCTCTCCCGCCCCTTTAAGATTCATCCGTTCCACCGTTATAAGGCTGTCAGACTCTGGGTGGGGGCACCAGCTTTCTTTCCTCAGTCACCAGATTCCCTGAGATGTAGAGCGCCGTTTTATTTCTCGTGCTATTACTTGAGCCAAACACCATTGACCACAGACCCCCACCCCCCCCAGCAAAAAACTATAGATGTAGGAAAGGAGTGTTGCTCTGGCTCATCCTGTGGAGCTGCTGAAGGGTGTGGATGAGCGGGAGGCACGTGACCTCTCCAATCTGTGCTGCTGAGTCTCATGTTGGCAGGTGGCGGGTATCAGTGGATGAGAGACTGACCAAATAAGGAGAGGAGCTTTACTAATATTCATGTTACATCTTTGATGCTTTTCATTCATTTCCATATTGTTTTACAGTCAAATGCAAAGCAGTGTAGAGATTCAATCATCAGTCATTCCAAGGCTTGAATAACAAGTGGTTTCTGCAAAAGAGTTCTTATGAAGACTCTGTTGTGTGTGCATTCTTGATGCATCCGAGTGCGGCGCGCTCTTCTCAGTGCCTCTGGGAGGCTAATCTCTTTAATAGCGGCTCGTCGTAGACCCAGCACTCGCCGTCCTCGTGGAATAGCTACAGAAACACAGAGCAATGAGAATTATACTCGATATCTGAAGTATTTCTGAAAGTAAAATTACAATGTTGTCACTGATCTCTCTGAGATGTGTGGAATTTAAAGTTTGCGGTACGGAGAAGGCTTCGCTTCCATTGCCACGACAGTTATGGCTGCGATATGTCAAATACACCGTGTGTTTACTTTCCTTAGTGTCCATGACGACGACACAAGCTCAGAGAGAGACTCGTGTTAGCCTCTGATGGCTATTTGGTTCTGGGAAAGTGCAGGATTCATGCACGGTGCTCATGCACGGTGCTCATGCACGGGATTTTGCAAATGATGCAAGAAAACTGTTCCACTAAACTAGTAACAACCTCGTTTCACCACTGCAGACAAAAAGCAGACTGCTGAATATAACCAGGCTACAAAACAGGGGACACTAGCAGATAGTGACGCCTGACCCAAACACATCCGCTAACTAGCTGCACTCCACAATTCAGGAGGATCAAACGGTGAATAGAAATTCCTGATGCCTGGTCAAAAAGCTTGACCTAATATCCAGTTGTTGCTACTTTTCCTTAAACGTTCCACGGAAAACATTACCCGGGTGTGTTTTGTGCAATGAGCTGGTTCTTCTATAATGCTTTTCTACTCTACATACAACATGCCTCATTCACCCAGTCGCACCCGTCATACAAGCACTTGATTCCATGCTTAACACTCGCACTCCAATGACTGCATCAGAGAGAAACCTCGGGTTAGCATCTTGCCCGAGGATGTTTGGCATGAAATCAAACCACCAACCTTCCGATAAGTAGACGACCTGCTCCACCTCCTGAGCTACAGCCACCCCCACCTCACTGGATATATTGCTGTGTCACTACTGCTGCACTATAACGCTTTGTGGCGATAGATTCCACGTTAAGTGGGTGGTGTGTCATGGATGACAGCAGCTCATTGGAAAAGAAGGATAGAAAGCGTCCTTCGTGTTGTTTGCACTAATAAATGCTGCTGCTGCCTGAAAGCTGCACTCACAGATAAAATGTTGCTCAGCATTTTCCTTTTATTGTCATAAATATGATTGTTGTACATTTCCTTGAAATGAAGCTACTTTCAGCTGCTCCCTGGTACCTGCAGCGGGTAGCTCTGCACGTTTTAGTCTGGTTGCTCTTTCTGATGCAGCCTACAAGTGATTTGTGTCTCAAGCTGGAATCAAACCAGCAACCTTTCACATGCATTTGTGTAAAACACTACACTTTGGAGCCACACTGCAAATATCCTGACAGAATTTTAAAGCTATATTGCCCATAATACTCAGATCCCATGGTACGCTAAGGAAATCCTCACCCTGGTCTCCCACTGCTGCTCCTTCTCCTTCCTCTCTCTGGCTTCAGCTCTCTGTTTCTCCTCCAACCGGTGCTTGGCTTCTGTCGCTGCATCGATGTCTTTTATCTTCAGGTTCAGAGTCACATCCTTCCACAGTCTAAAAGGGGTAAAAGTTTGAAAGTCAAACATTTAGAGTTAAAGGATCCCGTGAGACGGCTGAGGTCCGACACGGATCTTCTCCTCACCTTCGAGACTCGTACTCGAGCTGGTCTTCCAGCTTCCTCACTCTCTTCTTAACGATGCCCATCTTCTTAGTGTCTATGAACACCGTGTTCTCCTAGAAACATATGAAAACACGTTCACACACGTATTAATTCATTTAAGGTAGTGATTTCCTACATTTTGTAACGTAAATAAAACAAAGGACTCACTCCAGTCGCCCATTTAGCATACATGACTCCGTTCCACTCTCCCTCAATGGAGCAGAAAGACTTCTTGTCGTTTGGTGAACTGCAGGGACGGAACCAAACCCAGATGTCATCTTGTGTATTAAAGAGCAGACTCTCAGCAATCCTTAAATAATGTGATATAACCACATGGCTCTTACAAGATCTCTGCAGTGATTCTGTGCTTCTTTCCACCATAGAAGGGTTTGGTGTGGAACACGATGTTAGCGCTGTAGCCCGACTTGGAGCAGGAGATGTTGCACTCTCCACCAAGCTCCACCCACGGCACAGTGAGGATCGACCTGGACAGACAGGCGTAGGTCAGCGAAACAAAGTAACGACCGACTGAGCGATGACACAGGCGAGCACGGGGACGCGTTAACGGCACCTACCTGCCATATCCGTTAGGAAAGGTAAGAATGTAATGCTCATCGTGCTCCAAACATGACACGCAGCCTGGAGAGAGGCCAGAGGTCACTTAACACAAAGATTCACTGAATCACACTCATCAGAATATAAGGCAGAGCTTAGTGTACCTTGGCCGATGTTGTGGACGCCTATGGACATGCCCAGAAACTTAGATTTAGTCCAGATGTGAGCGTTGAACTGGATCTTCCTACTTAAGCACTCGGCGTAGAACGCAGAAACTACAGGGGAAAAATGCAGGAAATAATTAGTGGTGCAAAAACAGCAACACATCAGCGATCGTGCAGAAAATAAAACCCAAACATTTTTACTTTTCTAAAGCCTCCGCCACACCCTTCTGGATCTACATGTAATGAGCAATTCTGCGTTTACACTTACTGGGCGGGTGGTGAGAGACCTGCTCTGCCACAAAAGACACGCTGTTGGATGAAGCCCAGGGAACCGGGCCTTCTGATACCGTCTCCTGAAACGTGCGAGAACGAAGCACATTGAGAGCAGGATTGTGATTCTTGGTTAGAACTGCAGATCGACGATTCAGGAACTTGTAAAAGTAATAATTGAAATTATTACTGGATCAAAAATCTACTTGACCGCAGTGACAAACGGCCTCACCGTAGGTGGCGAAGGCTCCTCTGTCTCGCTGGGAAGATCCCAGTGGCAGTAGAAGACTTCTCCTAGGATTGGGTTGTACGGTTTCTTGGCCACTGAGCCTTTCCTTCCGGCATGGAAAGCCGACAGGTACCACCTCACCACCTGCACCATCCGCTCCCTGGGCTCTGGCTGCTCAGCGATACTAGCGAGTAAAAGAAACAAGTACTGAATGACGGCCTACCCTCATGCCAGAGTGTGCATGATGATAAACAGCTGAAATGGTACGTACCTTACAAATAAGTCGGGGTGAGCAAAGAAATCTGCATACATTTCTAACAAAGACCTTCTTTCTAGGATGAAGGTAGGCAGGACCACCTGGGAAATACAGTGAAGTGTTGTTAAAAAAGAAAACCTTACGCCGACAGCGCTGGAGAGCGAAACGCCGCGACGGAACAATTAGGGCGGCTAAGACGCTAAGAGGTCCTGACCTTTGTGAGGTCCATGCCCAGTCGAACTTGAGACAGCAAATGCATGATGACGCTCTTGTGCTCTTCCACAGACTCCCTTTCACCGTCGTCGTCACGGTCATCGTGACAGTCAAACTGGTCTGAGGACAAGAGCAGAGCCACATATTTCACCATCATGTAGTAAAATATGATTTAAATAACGCCTCATGCTTAGAGTTTAATCAGTGAGGGACAATCAGCTGCGATGTGATCAGGTGTCTCGTGATTATTTCCCTTTTTACCCGTGTCTGTGGTGCCATTGGACATCGAAGAGTTGAGGGACTCTGTAGTGTTGGGTCGTTTCAGAGCAGTTTCTTCGTTAGTAAGGGGCGAGGCAGCTGGAGGCCCTGAGGGACTGGGTGCAGGAGGAGGAGCAAGGAAGCAGGAAGCAATAGAGATAAAGGGGATAAAGAATAAATATAAAACAAGAGGCAAACTTCTCAGATTGCAAATGCTCATGCTGTTGGATTTTTATTCAATCCAAGCAGAATATTTCTTGCTGCTGTACTCACTCTATGCAGTGTTTGGGGGAAGTGTTGCTCTGGTAAAACTCATCGGCGTCATAGAATTCGTCCTCACTGGAGGAGTAGGAGAAGTCTGGCACCGAGTGTGAGGGGAGGGGGATGTGAGCCGGGGAGGCGACACCGCTGCTGGGGCCTGACGGGCCACTCCCTAAAAAACACACACATGAAAAAAATGTAATCGAACGGTGTGCCTCACGCCATCAGCCCACTCATACATACATCTGTCATCCGCCTGTCTGTTTGGTAGGAGGAGCCAAAAGGCCTCTGTTGATGCAGAAGCTCGCCGGCGCCTGCCCTACACGATGCCATGGTGATGAAATCAACATTATATTGTTCGACTGGAGCCCCCGTTTCCCAGCTCTGCTGTTCAGCAGGATGTGCTCGGCACCAATAAGCCGACTTAACACAGTGAAGACTTTCTCTGCAGAGCGTATTGACAGTACTCTCAAGCATGCCGCCTGTCTCCTTATTGCACGGCGCAGCATTTTAATACTGCAGCCTCAGCAGAGACGGCAAACAGGCTGCAACCTCTGCTTTCTGCTCATTTTAACTTGCGTTCAGTGGCACGCTTTCACGCATTTAACAAAACACACGAGCCTCAAAATGCTCCTAAAAATAGCATTTTTGTTAACGACCTGTAACCTGTAAAACTGCAGTAAAACAAATTAGGACTGCCACGATTATGTCGATGACAAATTTAATAGACGGGTCGACTGTAAGATCCTAAAGATGCAGGAATAAGTAGCAGGATTTAAGAGTCTTCTCTTTACCGGCTTCAGTTAATTCAAAATGCAGCTGCGCGTCTTTTAACAGGTACGAGAATCTATGAACGATTCGCTCCAATTTTAACCAAACTACATTGGGTCCCTGTTAAATATCGCATAGATTTTAAAAGTCTTTTGTTCACTTTTAAAATTCTGAATAATTTAGCACCCAGCAATCTTTCTGAGCACTTACATCGTCCAATCACAGGCTCCTAGCACAACCTGGGTCTCGAATGAAGTCGAGAGGTGACCGGGCCTTTGCATCCGTGGCACCTCTGGAATAACCTCCCTGTTCATGTTCGTACTGCCGAGTCGATCCAGTCTTTTAAATCACGTCTTAAAACTCATCTTTTTACTTTGGCTTTTGATTCTAACTAGTTGGCTGGTCTAGCTTGTTGTGTTGTTACCTATTGTTTGTTGTCCTGTTTTATTGTCTTATGATTCTAGAACATAAACGACTGGTATCTGAGGAATCGATATTTCAGTATCGATCCGCACATCACTAGTGTCCAAATTCAGGGGCCGCATCCTTTGGACGCCGCATTAGGAGGCCGATCACGTTACAGTGACGTGACGAAGGCTTCGCAAATTCGAAGACTCCTCCAAATAAGGCCGACAAATATGTCCTCCTTTTCCCCAGATTTGAAGGATGGGTCGGGCGTGTCCTTCGTGGCCCAACCTATCCCAGAATTCATAGCTCAGCCAATTCCAGTTTCCAACAATGGCGGCAGCTCCTAAGTTTTAATATCACTCTTATTCCTCTTTCTGGGTCACAAAATAAACTTTTAACATATTTTCAGGTAAGAATGTAGCTGTGTAAACTAATATCTGCTCGGTTTATCAAGACATCACATATTTGTGTAAAAGTGCTCCGTCGTCTGTTAACCACCAGCTCGATAGCTAACCCGGGTTCAAGGCTCACTAGAGCCGGCGAAAAACACCAGACTCCCGGCACATAATTTTTAGATCCCCGCCATCTTTCGCTACTCCGGTTAAACATGATATATGAGTCACTTAGATAACTTAAAATGTTGTTGTTTGGCTTTTTTCAGTGTTTTATTTGTTCCTGAGTAAATCGGTTTGGCTGAGATTAAAGTTATAGTTTTTACACAGCTGAATAAACAGACAGCTGATTATCAGAAGTGTGAGATGCTCCAGAATTTACTCCGGTGTCCTGTTATATTTTAGATAGCAAGGAGTTTATTAAACTTCACTGAAACAATCTGCAAATATCATTACAATTTTAATAACTATCATCTTGTCTTTATTTTTAGTTAGCACCTTAAACACTTCAAGCTGTAAGCTAATGATAGTTATATAAGACCAGATGCTGCTGGTGCAATAAGCTGTACTTTTACGTCCAATGGATGATGATCTGATTAATCGACTATCAACAAAATCGTTTGTGGCAGCCCTGCTACAAATAGACAAAGACGGCACTAAATGTCATTTAAAGTAATTGTTTGAAGGTCAAGAATGAAATGAAAAAAAAAAGGATCTTTTTTGGCCACTGGGGGGCAGTGGCATCAAATTATGTAAACACATTTCACCCAAATCACCTTAAATCTACTATTACATGTCCATGCTACTGTACTGTTTGCTATGTGATTGTAGTCCATTGTTTGGTGGCTCCTAAACAACATCATAACAAGCGATTTAAATAAAACCCATCAGGGTGCCAAGTTTGGCTGCTTAACTCCTGATAGTGTACGAAGAGTCCGAGTATGAAAGCTTGAACTTTTCATCAACAGATCGTCAGTATCATACCTGGTTTCCCTGTGGTTACCATGTCCTCAGGGAAACATTCTTCTGTCCACTGTTTACCATTAGAAAAGGTTGTGTGCAGTTTACAGATCACACAGCTACAACAACAACAAAATAACTAAACAGACTCTAACCTGCTGATTGGGCTGCTCGGCAGTATGAGGAACCCGTTTCAATAACGTATAGCCATTTCAGCATTTCACAAAAATTAGTCCAGTTCATGACACTGAATTGAATTCACCTGTGCTGTTGGGAGTCGGGGTCTGCAGACTGCCCATCACTGTGACGACGGGACCAACAGGTAACGTGGAGGGTCGTTGGTCTGATTTGCACACCTGAGACGCGTCTTCATCAAACGGAGAGAAAGCAGAGTTAGCGCCGAAGCCTCGAAACGAAGCCAGACCCCATTAAAAGCAGCATCTCATGCCACGTGGCAGGACGCTGCAGACAGAAGCTTCATCTGTGAGCGGGGATTACACCGTCTATTATAAGAGACCAAAATTAGAACGGCCTACTTCGCACTGCTGATTTTATAGCCTTTTTTTTTTTTAGTCTAGTCATAGTCATCTGACTGAAATAGCCAAAGATTTAGTCAGAGTTCAGTCAAGACATGTGAGGATTCTTGTTGAGTGGATAAACCATATTAGCCCACAAAACAGGAATCTGCTTCAACATAGATCCTTAATTTAAAAGAAGGAGAAGAAGAGAGGGAATAATGCTGCTAAACCCTGTGTGAAGGTTTACCTTCAAATACTGAGAGACTATTAAGAATATTTATCAATACTGGTGATGGTACTGTCACACTAGAACATGTTTCCAGTTGCAGCTGAAACATAATTTCAAATGTCATCCAAGGACAGAACATCGACAGATTTGACACATTTCTCTAACGGTTCTGCGATTCCAATCCCAACCACAGGGGGAGCTGCTGTCACCTTTAAGTATATGACACCAACAACCTCTCAGCATGTCTCAACACAGTAAGTGACAGCTGTTACTTTTAAATGTCTGCCACATGTTGGGGAGGCAGATGTACCTGGGGGTAGTGTTGTCTGTGTTGGCATTGTGTTCACCGCTGGAGTGTCCAGAGGGGGCTGGTAGATCCCATCCACTGGGTTGATGGTGCTCTGGAGGAAAAAAAACAAACACACAACGATGCCCTTTACAACAAAAAACGACATCAGAGCTTTGCTGCAACAATCTCACACACACACACACACACAGAGCTTACTGGTTTAGAAAAAACTAAATCGAAAGCAGTTTGGCTTTCAGTTCAGAAACAGTCCTACTCTGCAAGGATCCACCTGCTCCTTTATCCTCTCAAACCCAGAAGGGGAACAGTATGACCTGATCACAACTCGGTGCACCTATGTGAAGAGCGAACTAAACAATGCACCATCCAGCCGGCGCAGATCAATTTCCTCGCACTTGATTTCCTGGAAAGAGCGGCGTTGCCAAGCTTAATTAATGCAATCAATATGAAACCAACAACACAGCTTGACATGCAAACGCTAGGAGTAGCTCTACACAACTGCTAACGTTGACTCTTGACATCTGAGCAGCCTGTTTCTTCTTTAAAAAGGCCTGGGGGGGTCGGGGGGGTTAATAAACACTACAGTAGTAATCATTTGTAGAGGCCTGCCTTGATTCGTGGCAAACGCTGCATGCATACAAACAGCAGCCTGTCGACACCATGTGGTCACAGCCCCAACGACCCATCTGACAGGAACACCAGCAACCACACGAGATACACCAAAAATATCTCGCCCCTCGTTCCCCAACAGCTCACCGCCAGGAAACAACATTTAGTGACATTATAACGCAAACCTGACCTGCAGTTTCTGACTTCTACTTCTTTCTCTATTTTGAGATAATCTGAGCTCAACAGGAACGCAGCGACTTCGTGTTACGGCTGTGAGATTAGGCCGAGGTGTGACGTGAGGTTTTTACTGAACTGAGTTATAGGAATTACACTGACCTTGTTTTTCTCCGTTTATAGGTCAAGATAACTGACAATAAACCTTTATCTAAACGCTAAACAAAAAAGATACAGTCAGAGGTCAAGGATTTGCCCTCCTATCTCCAAACTTCCTGCGTCTGTTCTGTTCTTTCTACTTCTAATGGTTCCAGCGTCCACATGCCTTCATAAACGTAACTCGACGGCTTCTAATTAGATCCAATTATGTATACGGACCAGCCTATGGCTATGCAAGCACGACATGAGAGGAAAAAAGCATGTGAAGTGCAAGGTCATCAAAAAAAGCTAAAAAGGGTTTTAAACTCTAATGATCAATAACCTCTCTACCCCTCCAAGTGAATGCAATATTAATGCAATGAGCAGCTCTCGCAGCAGTGCAACCCCTCAGCCACCCACAGCACATAAATTATTTTGACATAACTACTGAACATGCTTCTCGTGAGCTTGGTTTAAATGATTCTTGCACTTTGCAGCAATTCCCCAGGCAGTGCAGTTTGACAGGGTCAAACGTGCTGCTGACGCCTGGAGCATCTTAAACAAAGGCCTACGGTGCATGCATCACTGCTGTGCAGGCAGTGACAGACATTCAGCAGAGGTACGATTAGTGGAAAGCCTATGGCATACAAAGGTGGCACGTGCAGGTATGTGCATAGGCAGAGCTTTCGCTGTGCTATTTATACTACATAATACTATACTTAATGATAAGAGATTAAGCCAGCTGTAAGATCAATGCAGTCCTGTGAGCTAGCCGGCTTACGCGGAGGTCTTGCTTAAAGTGGGAGGTTGTGTTGTATTAAACGATCTACAAACACTTCTCGATCCTTTGCTTTTTCCAAAGATGGAAGTAGTGATATCCACCTTCAGTTTATTTATTTTGCAGGTCAATAATTAGTAGTCATTAGTATACATGAGACACATAATCTGGTATTAGGTCATAACAACTGTGTCATGTTTTATCGCCTTTTTAGGTCTGGTAATTTTTAGAGCCGTTTTATTTTGAAAAACAGTTAACAGGAACTCTTACTGCTGAAAGCTTTAGTGGTTCAAAACGTGCGTAAATCCTGTCGTGGCCAGGAGTGCTTTCTGCACGGCTTTCCAGCTATTAGTGCTCAGTGGTTCAATAAGCAGGCAGTGTGACAATGACCGATCAATGGTGACTTCGATTCCTCTAATTAGTAAGTGAATAATAATAATAATAATAATAATAATAATGATGGATACTTTATTGATCCCCATGGGGAAATTACTTGTTTTTTCTCTGCATTTGACCCATTCACTCAGTGAAGCAGTGGGCAGCCCACTAAGCAGGCGCCCGGGGAGCAGTGTGTAGGGACGGTACCTTGCTCAGGGGTACCTCAGGGTAGCCGTTAAGTGGATTCGAACCGCCGACCTTCCGATCATGGGGCGACCACTTTACCTACTGAGCTATCCCTGCCCCACAAGTGATGGGCAACACTTGTATACGCAGGCATGCGATCACACGTGTCCCATGTGCACTTACACTAGTGCATCTCAGAACACCGAGTATTGTGTAAAGGTTTATTTTTCATAATTTAATTTAAAGAGATAAACTTTCATATATTCTGTAAAGTGAGATATTTCAGGCCTTTATCAGCTACAAACAGCCAGTATGTCAAATTATTAGAAGGCTTCCTCAGATCAAACAAAAAGGATCTCCATATGCCGACTTATACACTACACTGAACATCATCTGTATTTTTGGGGTTTCTCCTATTCCTCTTGAACAATGGCAGACGCACTCTTGTCCACAGTGTGGATAAAACACAGTGGATCAACCATCACCAGCAGACGGCACGGCACCCTAAAATCACCCTAAAAATGTGACCGCAGCAAAGAAACAAAAAGGGAAAAGGAAAATAAACTGACTTTGCTCATTAATAAAACTCACTGTCTGGGCAATGAGCTGAATTTACACTTTACAATACGAGCCCACACAGTTATGCTAATCAATTTCTTTCAGCAGCATTTCTCCATCGTGTGGAAAAATGACCCACTGTTACCACTGCACTTCTTTTCCTTAGATTGCGATATCTCTGGGATTAACTGTGCAGCGGCAGAAAGGGGAATTTTCCTGGTCCACTTAAGATTAAAGCAGCTGTATGCGGCCCATCAGATATATGGCTTGAGTTTAGAAACGCTCTTACCTAAAGAGTGGACGCCGTCCGCTTTTCCTGACAATCCACTCACGGCTCAGGTAATTGCTACTGCTTGTGCAACTGTTCCTACCACACTTTCCATTAACATGCTTCAAAACAGCTTTGCTGTGGCATAAACTCGATCTTCATCTGGACAGCTGTCGAGTCAGCGTTCTTCCCAACGACTGTGGTTACTAAACTAAGAGTGAAGAGTAATTTACTCACACTGAAAATGAAATACTTCAATAATTTGAGGAACTGAATAACAGTTATAGGCCATCGTCAACAAAATACTAACATTTACATGAATGTTTACCTTTTTGAATAAAATGATAAACTTTTCACAATACTTGACATTTTTGAGATGTACTAATATACACTCAATGTGCATTTTGTGTAGCACCATTTGCACATATACATTTCATGTCTTCATGAAGGAAAAATAGTTACAAAATAAATAAATATTAGATTTTAGAGGAAGATATTGATTTAATTAAGAAGAAGGCAGCAGGAAACATGAAGGAAAGCTTAGACCCAAATTAGACTGCATGCACTAAACAGATCTGTACATCTGCTGGTCTAACAGGAGAGAGTCTATTAAGCGAGAAAAGAAAGTTAGCAGTTTGTTTGATTTCGACTTTTGTCATGGACAGAAAGGGTCAAACTTACTATAGGTCCGTTTGCGTGTTGCTGTTCGTTACTTTGGTCCTTAAAATTTTAAGAAGACAGTGTTAGACTCATTGTATGTGAAGGTTCAAGAGTCATTTCATAAAAGCATCGCGAGCATCTGCCGCGGTGCGGTGCAAACGAGGCTCGGGTCTCTTGCGTTAAGCTCCAAAACTTTCCCCAAGTTGCCACATACAGCGATCCTTTCATCACACGGTCAAATCCAGACTTGCCACTTCTTTCAGTAGTGAAAACGACAGGATTGCACTACTGTGTGAGATAATCCACGTGTGTGTTTTTTGCTTTCCTTATCAAACAGCTAACAAAGCAGAAACGATTGCTCCACTTCCTTTCAGAAGGCTGAACAGAACATGTGATGAAACGAACACTGGACAACACCCTCACCAACCACCGACCCAGATAGCAAGTGTAAGCAGGGAACTACCCCAGGGATGCGAGGTAACACAGTGCACACTCATGTGGTTTCACAAGAACAATGGTTATGAAGAAATGGCAAACTGCAGAGAGCGGACTCGTGCTGTGCTTACCTTGGCAATCTGCAGCAGTACAATACAGTGCTTGATGGACTCTACCATACTCTGAAAGGGAAAAATCACAGAGCAATTAATTAGGAAGGAAGTGACTTCTAAACCCAACAGGAAGGAAAATGTGTTCATTCTCTGACTTACACAAGTAGTCTCCTTCAAATGTTCAATTTTCTGTCGAAAGAACAGAAAGAAGTAAAAAATGAGGTTAAAGAGCAGAAATACTGATGCGAGTAATGACGCCTGACTGGCTTCAGCCGGGGCTTGAAACTCCAGCTGTGAAAGCTTTGATGCAGTCGGCACAAGCAACCAGGTAAAGTGACCAAAAGCTGGTGTTAAACTCAAAGAGGAAGTGGACATATAACCCCAGAGGCTAGTGAGACGCCCTGAAGGTTAAACGTTTACACCTCTAATCTTCAAACATTAGAAGATCATCTCGGAGAACTGACCGGGCCTGAGAGGCGCTACAGAAAAAGGAAGATTGTAGTTTGAACAATAGTCCCTTTTTTTACATCATGTACTTCTTAAATTGTCCATTAGTCAGTTAAGTGACTGAGAAAATGAACCACAAACTAAAAAACTGAACTACTGAATCGATCAGCCTCGCAGTCGCCAGCAGCTCGGTCCAAGCTGAGGGCAACCTATGGTGTGAGTAGAGGTGGTGGCAAGTTTTGGTTAAGCTTAAAGCAACACTGGAGAACAGACGGGTCCTTTGTCAGGACTACTGATCTTCTTCATGCATCTTTCCCCCATTAAGACGACGTCTGATGACGTCCCCTGTACCATTAAGGAGTTCTGACACCTCAGCATTCATAAATAAAGATGTGGTTTGATGACTATTAGAGTTTCTGGGATTTTCTAATGCACATCCAGTCATTTTGGACTCTAAGCAGGCCTGAAATAAAGCTGAAACCACTCAGTTAAGGAAAGCGCTTCAAGGGTTACTCCTTGAAGGATTAATTTTTATTCTTCATGGCTGATAAATAAATATCGAGGGGACTGAACTTTAGCTTTTGAAATAAGAGGATCACTTCTGAAATCACTGCTGCTTTAGGCCAGTTTGGAACAGAAATATCTGCGATACACCGACAGCTATCAGTTTCCATTCGCCCCCTGCTCCTTTGTTAGCAGCGGCTCTAATGATGCTGGACCGGAGAGGCGAGACGCGAGGACAGAGCTGCGCTGCTGATACTCACTCTGCGTGATTCATCCTCTTTGCAGTCCTTGATCTTCTCATCAAACAGCTGTGTGGACAAGAGATGAAAGAAAGGTTAAAAAACAGAAACATGGAATAAGAGCTATTCCACTGTCAGATGACTGTACAGATGACACAGTGGAAAACTACTGAGAGCTTATCTAAGGAAGGACATGTTACGTGGTTTCCTTAAGATGCTGGAGACAGTGTCTACTTTCTTTAAATACAGTTATCTGGTTTGTCACCACAAATCTTACAAGAACTTCTCCTTTACCGAAAAGTAGACAAGGAAATGGTCGCTGACACAGATTCAATCTATAAATATAGGATGAGAAGCCACTGAAATCTACAACATCTATATCTACCTCACGGTGTGGATTTCTGTCGTGTCCTACCTTTAACTGATCAATCAGAATCTGTAGGTAGGCGTCAGCTTCAGCTAGCTTCTTGTCAAAGTCTTGAACACTAGGAACAAATCCCGTCTCAGCCTCCTAAAGACAAGGGAAGAAACACAGCTGAGCATCGGTGCAGTCCTCGACGCAGGTGTTGCAAAAGGTATTTGCATATTCAAAGTAAAGCACAAAACCACAGTCCATAAATCCAGGGCCATGTATTCACATATTTATCTGTTCATTTACCAAAAAAACAAACAAATAAAGGGGGGAAAGCCTCTCATATCCATCGCCTCCTGGTCAGGTAGGCTTTATAAACTGTTACACAAAACGGTGGAGAGAAACATCAACAGTTCAGGAGAATTTTCCAGCAAGGTACCGTAGTGAGGGAGACATGAGTACTATTGTTTAAAGGCTCGTCTACATGAAAGGCCAGCAGGTCAGCCTGGTTGCCTGATGGAGGCCAACTCGTTTCAGGCCCTGAAACAAAGCTGAAATCAGGACTCATGACCGGAGAGCATTCGGTTACGGGCTGAGGTGCACTCAAATTCATTGTTTGTTAATTAGCTTCCTTTAACGGCCCCCAGACTTCACACACACACACACACACACACACACACACACACACACACACACACACACACACACACACTTTGTTACATAATAGCCATTAAAAGGTAATTACTAGACTATTGGCAGAACAGACGTGACCAGGCATCTGTCTGCCTGTCTGTGCGCACCCACCAAAGCACCCAGAACAATCCAGTAAGCTGTGACACAAAACCAAAAGACAGGAAAACGGGGGAAAATAAATAATTCACCCCCATTTAATCACCGAGGCTGTCAACAGCAAGGACACCGAGTGCCCGCGAACACACAACACCCGCCCTACGTCAAGCCAGCGGACTCAGGAGATGACTAACGGCGTGTGTCAACGCACTTTACCACTTTACAGCAGTTACGTGGAAAAACGCACAACACCTGAAAAGCCGCTCTGTCAAAACGAAACAACTGCTGTCAGAAGTCAAACTCTTATCAAACCGTGGTGGGTGTCACTGCTGCTTTGGAGCTGCCATGTTGCAGAGTCCAGCTGCGTCGCGAGTTTGAGGCGCGTTTTCTTGCAAACGAATGAGCTCCGATAGGAAAGTGAAGAAAAGCCATCAACACAAAGTCGGTGAAGTTTAAGCTTCAGAAAAACATATACACTCAGCAGCCATGAAGCTATGAGGGCAAACTTCCTCAAAAGGATCAAAGGTGCTTGTTCAGCTTAAAGGGGAAAATGTAGCTGTCTGCATGAAGGCCTGAGCGAAAAAAAGAGAAAACAAAGAAGAAAAAAAAAAGGCTGTTGCTGTGCGTCTTTGGGGGGTTTCACCCAGACTGGCACAAATCCTGAAGAAACTTGCCGGATAACTCGCTACACTGGAAACATGTAAGTGGAGTATTATTCCAGTAAGGCATCGCATCAGGATACCAGCGACACGCAGCGAAACAAGTCGGAGCGAAAATCTCTACAGGAAACTAATTTCACAGTAAAGTGTTACAAGACCGATTAGAGATGAACCACCTGAGCCTCGACGTTTACTCTGCACTGCGTGAAAAGTCAAAGAACAGAAGTGAACAAGACTCTACTTTCCTCCATGTGTATTTAAAGCTGACTCTACCTGCAGAACAGCCCGGCGCTCTGTTACCACCGAGCAAACGATGCGTCCTGTTTTGACAACACACGTGACACAGGGGAAGTGTTTTTCTTTCTTCTTTTAACGTTTGGGAGCAGAAAGTCAGAGGCAGGTGGTTGGTTTATAAACAGCCACTGTAGTGCTCACTTCTGCCCTGTTCTGGAAATACTCCCAGACTTCCACTCCCACGCGTTTGCAGCGCGCAGACTGTCCATCCCTGTGACACAGCAGCAGGGAGGTTTAAGCGTGGCCTCCAGTGTTAAATTAAGACAAAAAAAAAAAAAAAACCCACCCCGCCCCCCACACCCACAGAGCAGACTTTACAAACAACACTGCCCTCGCACACTCCCCCCTCCCTCCCCTGTCTATTTGTCTTTCCACTCAGCGTGACCCACTTTAAAAATGCTGCTGTCCCAGTGGCGCTGCAGCCGCGTAGCTTCTCCCCTCGCTCTGGTGCAGCGGGGCTTTTGCCCGTCTGTGTGCTGTTACTTACTGGGTGCTGTGCTCCAATAGACATGCTGCAATAAGCCAGTGCATCTCTCAGTCCATTTAGCAGAGTGCAAGGTCGCTTTCTCTGCCTCCGTATCTCTGTTTTCCCCACAGCTACAAACCGCCAGCTCAGCTGAAGTCACATTCTTTCCTCCTCCTTCAGCACCACAGACAAACAAAACAATTTCCTCCCTTTGCTCCCCACTGCGGTGTGCCAACGTAAACCCTAGCAGCCTTCAGACTGTTAGCGGGGCTTCAGCAGCAGTTATCAGCTAAGCGTTGGGTCTGAGCCGACTTAATCCAGGACCCTGCCCTGACAGGAAAGCCACACTTCCTCTCGCACAGGCGGACGAGAAAACACACAAACCAACAGCAAGCGCTGAGAGGCACGAGCTTTAACAGCCACGGGGATTGGCTGAGACAGCCGAGGCAGATGTTTGGCCGATTGAGCAACCGGGTCTTGGATTGGGTAGCTGGGTCACATGATGCTTCGACAGCAGCGCTGCATAGGTGTGCGCATGCATGTGTGTCCGCACCGAGCACGCAGGCACACGCGTAGCACATCAAACGGATTTGCCACCAAAGGGAGAGAGGGAGGGCGAGCAGAACAAGAAAGGTGGGAGGGAGAGCAAAGCTTGGTTATGAGGATGAAGAGAGGCGATGAGGAGGAAGAAGCGTATCTGGATGAGGATGGGAGGGAGCATAGCGGAAGGTTTGTTTTGAGGGAGGAGAGCAGGGAAAGAGGTTGAGCAAAGAAACAACTGCAGGGCAGGAGGAGCAATTTCTACACTCATAAAAACAGATATAAACGCCGGTGGGACAAAAATGGCAGCAAGCAGGTCAGCAGCTGAGCAGACTTTCCATTAAACTTAAAAGCCTGCTCCTAAAACCTGTCCAGACTGGCCACGTATTTCCAAACATCCTCAGCCTACGATGACGCAAATGTCAGCATTTTTCCCTTTAATACAGACGTGAATTATCTTTCAGCTCTGCTCTCTTGAGGAAAAAACAGATACGAGCAATACTCGTAAAGCTTAAAGTGCTGATAACCTGCAAAGCCCATTCAAATCCATCACGAGTGTTCGGGTGTAGTTTATGCAAATACAGACTGCAGTGAAAGCTCTGATATTATTTTCATGGCAGGGTTTTCAAACTTGTTTACCTCTTCATCTAAACCAGGATCATCTTCAGGTATCACAAAGAGCGGCACGCTCGAGTTCGGAAATACGAACTGTGCGACGGGAATTTGTATAAATGGCAGGCAAACACCAGAGGATCCACGGAGCAAACAACTCCTCTGTTAACTGCAGTGGATTAGACAGAAAGACACACATCCAAAGAAGCGCTTGGTTTCATACCCGGAGTTGGAGGGTGTGCCGGAGGATAGTTCCCTCTAAGGCGTGGATCCACTTCTCCCGCTCGTCTGCATCTCGGGCTGAGGACAGAAACACAGAGACACACCCAGTGAGCCACGTTTTCCATCTGACACCATCTGAAGCCCATTGAAAGAAAAGAGTAATGAGAGCACTAAGATGACATGAGTACTGGTGACGCAGTGAGGGACACTGAATATTCACCTAGAAAGTTTCAGCGAAAACATGTTTACAGGTTTATTTCTCTCATGTCATTCGGTGACGGCAACCAAGAGATATTCTGGTAACTGTTCCCCGTGCCATACATGAGAGCTGTACCGATCCTTAACCAAACTCATGCCGCCCAAAATGTCAAACTTTCCCTTCTAATCAGAGTATTCATCAGAGCTTATAGGTCTGTGTCTAAATTACATTAACATAAATGTCAATAAAGCCTCTTTGAATTTGAATGAATCTTTATGCATGTTTGAGCCTTCCACTGAATATAATGGAACTAAATGGGACTTGGTCTTTGTGCTCACAGTACCAAAAGAACAAACAACAACAAAACTCTGTCTCTCTGGAAATCATGACCCGGTTTGCCCAAACCTACTAACCTCGTGGTGCGCGGTTTCATAGAGGAACTACACCCACTAAATGTTTTACAGTTTAGAAGGAAGTGTGCAACTACACGAAACTGCTCAACAACAAAAGGTGCACAGTTTCTTTCTCCTTTGTGTGAGCCAGTCAGAGTTTTTAAAAGGTGTTTTATTGGCGTTTGAGGCCTATAAAGTGAATTCAGTTCAATTTTATTTATACAGCGCCAAATCACAACGACAGATGCTGAGCGAGCGCTTTAGTGACAGTGGGAAGGAAAAACTCCCTTTTAACAGGAAGAAATCTCCGACAGAACCAGGCTCAGGGAGGGGCGGCCTCCTGCCACGCCACCTTCATTATGCCCAATGAGGCAGGAGTCTGATAGACAGACATTAAAACTGAAGCTTTTTAAATACGCTTCACTATATTTAACTCATTCAGACATAAAATCTTTGTCTGCATGACAGTAATGGCTGAATCAATACCATAAAAGTGACCAACTTTTATGGCAATTGTAAAAATGAGGACTTACAGCTCCTTTCCTGTGCTGCCACAGTACTGATTCTCATCTTTGTGTGAAGCAGAGCAGAGTGAGGCTGCACCCTCAGAGCAAAGACAGCGACATTAACCAATGACCCAGAACAGGCTCTGGCACATGCAGTACACACTGCAAAAGGCTCCTGGATGCTTTTTCCTGCCACTGGCATACGTAATATTGCATTTTCCTGCCAAGACACGGAATGAACTGAAGTGGATGGGTGCTAAAGCTGTACAGCACTGTGCCAAGTCTGAGCCAATCTGTTTACTTTTTGCTAAGAAAATGGGAAACAGGTTCAGAAATCTATTGAAACGTGTAAACATATATGGAACTACAGTATATAAGGCAAAAAACCCACAGAGTTTATACAATAGGAATATTTCTGCAGGACATTCAAGCTTTTGGGTGATGGCTCCCTTTTGTGGATTTCTGTCAATATGACCCCACGCGGCTCTGAGGAGACCAGTCTATGGCTGACAGTGTTTTTCTATCCAGGTGAGCTTTTACTGCACTGGGCGAGTGTTTGGGATCATTGTCATGCTGAAAAATAGAGCTGCAGCCAAACAGATGCTTTCCAGGTGTTACTGCATCCAAATCTGACAGTTCCATTAATTTTGGCAGCCCTCAATAGCTCTACCATTACAGATCGCTACAGACACAAATTTGGATTCACGACTCCAGAAGACCCGTCGCCAACGATCTTTAGTCCAGTTTCTGTGCCATCTTCAGATCGTCTTCTTGACACCCACAGAGAGACTTCAGCAAACAGTAGATGGGTCAGATGCATGTTTGTCTGTTTCTAAAGGACAGGACTTTCTGTTCGTCTGCTGCAGACACGTTTTTAGTCCTGCACTTCATTTATTTTTAAGGACACACTGCACACCATGCTGAGATATGCCAAGTTTCCACACAAACCTCTTTGGGAATCCCCTTGTTGGTGGAAAAATGCCTGTCAAAATGTCTCATCTTTAGCATTATTTCTAGACCCGTGTAGACTTGTGTATTATATGCAGACAAAACACTGACCTGTGAATCATTTGAACCATTTAACAAAACAAAAAGAAAACACCCGTGTTAACTGGCTTAAAACACAAAACCAGAAATTTGCTGGAAAAGGTCAGGTGCAAAGACCGGACAGAAAAAGCAGCTAATGTTCCAGGTGAGGACAGTAATCAATACAGTCTCCAATCAATCTCCAAAAGCTGTTAACAAAGAACTAAATATGTCCTTGAATTAGCTCCTAAACTCCATCCTGTGTAAGAGTCATCTTTCATTGAGCTGGAAACAAGACAGAGCAGCAGATGAGCAGGCTAAGGAGCGCTACAACAGGAAAGCTTTTAAAGACATTAAACGGCAGCCGAGGCTCGGGCCAATCCACTCAGACAGCACCTCGCTGCCCTCTCGCTTTCCGACTCTGCAGGGGAACAGATCTGCTGCAGCTAATGTTGTTCAGCTCTACTCACGACAGCCAGGCCATCCAAGAAAAGCTAATACAGGAACTGTGTCACAAGTCCAATCTTTGTCCTAGTTACTGATTCACATCTGGAGCTGTGATTTGCTTTGCCAAGGAGGTGTGAGCACATTATTCATCCACCTGACAGGAACCTATTTTGTTAATACTCCACCAACAATCACGTTTTGTAGAATTTAAACACGTGACACAGAAAAGGGAGCACGCAACAGCCCGCCTCGTTAAACAATCTTTAACCTGCAAGCTCCCCAGTACAATATCTGCGTTATTCCCATTTGTGTCCAGGTGAGAAAAGAGCAGGTAATCGTGCAGTGAATTTACAATGAGCGACCGCCATGTGCTCTACTCAGGAGCAGCTGACGCAAGCAGCCTCCTGCTGTGAGACGCGTGTGAGGGAGGACATTCAGACAATGACTCGACCTCCTTCTCAACAATTTCCAGAAGTTTTGGGAAAAAGAAAACAAAAAGACAAAACTGAATATGCAAATGTTTTCAGTGAATGTTAGCAGCATCTATAGTATGTGTTTGAATTCATATCCTTAAATAAAATAAAGATAATAATTAAGGAAATTTGGGGATTCCAGTCGTGCAGTTTTGCAGTATCGTCAAATTTAACCGAACAAAAAGGACAAAAGTCTGAAAGTTAAATGCTTTGTCCACAAATCTCCCATTAAACCCGCTCTTAAAGTTTTACGATGCCGTTTCCACCCTGTATAAACGAAACAGTCTGACAGCTCAGCTGCTACTGTCACAACACAGCAAAGTGTGCAGACCAAACCCGTTACTGAAAGCTGGGCAATGGCAGCGAGGCCCAGCAGGGCTATCAGAGGCACGAACGGGAGGGACCGCACCTCACACCAGCAAGCTTCAGGTCAGCCACTCGCACGCGCTGCAAATATTAGAGGAAAACCCACAAACTTTCCCACACAGAACAGAAATCACTGCAAAATCTAACGGCTAAAAATAAGATCCCCAAATGCTGCTGCCAAATAAAGACGAGTTTCCACACATGTAGCAGCGGTGCACAGTTCCACACACAGCGGAGATCACCTCACATCCAGCAAAAGGAACCGATACTAGAAAAACATATTTACAAAGGAGGGTATGTGTTGGTAGAATTTTCCACAGGATACAGCTCGTCTCACGAACGCTAAAGTACCTGCTGCGGATCGACCGATGTGTACAGGAGAGACTAAGTGAAAAGTTGGGAAAACAGATGAATTCAATAATATGATTAATTTGATGTCACACATTATTTTTCCCTCCTGTTATCCTTCAAAATGCAGGAAAATCTTTGCAAGCTTCTTTACAGTATCCTGCTGATTGCACAACATCATTATATCACTGTAACTGAGTTTTTCAATGAATCCCTCCCCACATGCACCGAGCAGCTGCTGAATGGTTGTGTATTTGACTCTCCGGGGATGTGGCCAACTTTAAGTGAAGTCAGAACTCACAGCGTGGTTTCCACACTACTTTTAAGCTCGATTCTTGTGGTTTTAACCGTTTTTCCTTATCCAACAATCAGGAAAATGAAAGAACTGGATGTGCAAGGATTTTGTGCCGAACCCAAAACAACAACGCTTACGTTGTCCCTTAAGGAGACCAGGATACTATCCACATGAACAACTATACAAAAAACAAAAAAAAAGCAATTCTGTGACTTGATGAGTCCGGCCCCGCGGACCGGAAAACCGCTCCAGCTGAGTATATAAACAAAGTTACGGTCACCTAAACTGTAAACAATGCCATTCACAGACAAGTAGACACACGACAGATGGTGCATGTGCAGTTACAACCAACACAGACAAATATCATGTCCAGTTTTGTACTTTTAACCCAAGGACTTCATGTTAAACCGTCAGTGACGTCTGCTTATGACGCTCAGCACTTCTTCGTTATGCTGCTGCTCCTTTTTCCCCGTGTTAATTATTCAGCCCACTTCTTTCTCCTCCTGCTATCCTCAGACATGCTATGAGACGACTGGTCACATGTCTGAGCAAGAAGGCTGATGCTAGACTACAAGCTGCCAGTACTCTGACCCTGTAGCTCCCCCGGCGTGGTGCAGAAATCTTCTGAATGGTTACTTAATCGAAGGTGGATTGGTGGGAAAGTACTCTGTACTTTGCTCATTTAATGAAGATTAGAAGAAGATGAGCGTTGGCGACTTTTCAACCTGACACAAACACCGGTTTCATTCCTGAAATAACAGAGAGGTCGAAATGAAGATAAAGCTGTGAACAAAACGTATAACAAAAGGACAGAGCTGACAGTGCAGGTGATGCTGAGGTGAGGGAGGGCCCAGGAGAGACAGAACAAGACGGAGAACACACAGAGGTCTCTCATCCCGGACGTGTGCTGCCCGACTGGGAGAGAGAAGACAGATAGCTTTAGCAGATAACAGAAGGCCAGCAAAGAGCAAAGAGGGGAAATGAGGAAAAGGGCTCTCAGGCAGCTATGATGCACCGCCGGGGGAGAGAGGCTGATGAATAATGGATGTTTCTCTAAATAGAAGGAGCGCAGAGCCGCACTCCAGGCTAGCACAGTGGACTGTGAGCTCAGAACTATAATTTAACCTGTAATATGGACTGTGCAGTAGCAGCGTGCAGCTTAGAAATGAGCAGTTTTGACTGCAGGGATAAAAGGAAAAGCATCGCTCTGAATATAAGTTCTAATCTCAGTTTCTCGCTCGTTTCTTTACACCGGCGCACCATCCATGACCAGGAAACGCACACACTGGCCCATTGAGATGCTGCTGCCAGTCCTGTGAGACCGACTGCATAACACTCTTACTCCAGGATCGTTTTACAGCAACACAGAAACTAGTCCTGCTCGACATCCTCTTGATATCTCAGCTAACAGCTGATGCAAAATCTCATGTTCGGTGCCAATTTTTTGCTCGTCCTGCCAGCGGAGACACATGAGACACTTCAGTCCTCCGCTGGGTATTTGGAAAGCAGATGTGTCTTGCGTCAACTTTTCATTGTTTTCACTCAAACAAAAAGACGACCGTGGGAGGATTCGCTGCTTTCAAATCGACAGGTTTAACTCAAACAGCAGAAACCTTCGGTGTCTCACTGTCGCTGAACGCGCAGAAATTTCCCTCTTTGACTGATGATTGATTTGCTCTCATTAGAATATAATTTGCATCTCCTGCTCACACACTCAGTTAACTCAGATAAAAATAAATGCATCTTGACTGACAAACATCAGCTGCAGAAAAGCACCAGATTAAATAAAGACAATGATATTTGAGCCATTATTCACTGATGAATACATCCGCATGCGAGTTACTGTCCCGAGGGAGACAAAACGACGTCTCCACAGCGAACCAGCAACACCAGTAACATAAACATCCCTTTCTAAAATAACACAGCGAGTTTGTGCAAACATCTGAGGACTGTGCATACGAACGTTACCTCATCGCGGACAGTGACTAAACAGTCGTAGTCTGAACTGTCCTTGAACCTCGACTGCAAACCCTTTCTACCATGCACCACGGAGCGCACTGCTCCACCCTGACCGTACATCCCAGAAGACAAACAGACGACGCCTCCTTGCGATCCTTTCGCCCCGGGCTGGCATGCATGCTGACGTCGTGGTTTTCTCCTTACCCTTGCGTTTGTAGAACCACAGCATACAGCTTCGGAACACAGACATAGGAGAGGGCATGGAGGAGGTGAGAAGGGCGGGGGGCCCATGGACTGTGGCTGGTGACCCTCAAGGAAGGAGGTGAAAGGGGATGCTGGTAGTGAAGTGTGCAGGGATTTGGTGGTGGCGAAACAGACAAATGGACAAATGGAAGGGCGGAAATGAACCAAAGTTAGAGGAGGTTAGTTAAAGACCTGGCGGAGCGACAGGGTAAAAAAGGTGTCTGCGGTGTACTGAACAGGATGGGTCCCTGTCAAAAGGAGGAAGGGGCTGACAGGACGCGAGGGAGGGGGGCGATGCTGTAGGTGGGAGCCAATCCTGTCCCTACGGAGCAACCGGCTGTTAGAAAGCGAGCGACGGCAGCAGCGGTGCGGCGAAAGTCGAACAGCAGGAGCAGCAGCAAGAAGAGACCTGAGCTCAGCAGTATCCCCTTATTATTCCCAGTGGCTCAACTGCAGAGACACATAAGCAGCAATCTTCCTCTTCAGCTGCAGTGGAGACGGCTGAAGGGAAAAAGAAGTCTTAATTGCTTCTTCTGCTCCAAAGGAATCTGTTTAGCTCGCAGTGGAACAAATCTTGTTTACCGAAATATGTCAGTCCAACTTCAGAGCTCGAAGAGGAAGAGAGAAACAGCTCAGACGCTTGCAGCATGCTTTGAGATTGTGTAGATGCCAGTGTGTGCGTGTCTGCTGGCAGTAGAGCAAACCAATCCAAGACGTTAAAAGGCAGGAAGGGGAGAGAGAGGGAGTGAGAGAGCAAATGGACAGCATGGCTGAATGCAAAGCATTCACAGAGGACTACATAGAGGAGAAGAGGGGGGCTGTAAGAGAGCAGAGTTAACCGGGGGGACGCCTCACCTTGGAAATGGAAAGTCTTCTGGTCCACAGTGATGGTGAATGTGCTGTCGTCCTCGTCATCGATGCCGATCACAGCTCCCTGGGCAAACAGAAAGAGAGGAGGGGAGAGAGAGAACGGGAAAAGCAGGCAGTCAGACAGGGACACGTCATACTCCACTTTCCATTTCGATCTTCGTGCCCTCAACATGTCCCCAACTGGCTCTCATTTATTAATCAACCCTAGTCATTCTCAGCAGCTCACCCTCTTCTCTTCAAAAGCTCAATTTCCTGTTGCCTCGTCATCTTTTTCCTCAAAAACTAAAATAAATCACCGTCTCTCTCTCTCTCTCGCAGACACACAAAAATGAGTGCAGTCTTTTGGAACATGGTAGAGAAGAAGGGAGGGGAGGAGGTGGGATTTGGGAGAGTGAAGGAGGAGAAAGGCAGGGAAGGGTGGAGAGAGAGAAAAAGTACACCAGGGAGCAGCAGCCAAAAAGGAAAAAAGGAACTGCAGAGGAACGGCCTGCTGGCTGGCTGGGGCATTAGCTCCTAGCAACAGAAACAGGGCGTGTGACTCAGAGGTTGCTTACACAGCAAATCTCTGTAAGGGGTGGATAAAACAGCTGTAAAATCTGTTTGTTGACCCCTGAAAAACTCTGTTTTTTACATTTTTATTTTATACAACCTTTATAAAGTCTGTGCCATTGCTTTGAACTGACTTTCAGGGACACGTCTCTGTTCTGAGGGCTTCTGGATTGTACAGTATCCAAAGGAGCTTGCGAAGAAAAGCGTCTGGACTTCTTTAAGTTGCTTGAAAACGTTTCACCTCTCATCCGAGAAGCTTCTTCAGTTCTAAGGTCAAATGGTGGAGAGTCCCAGATATAAACCCAGTGGGAGTTTCCCCCCACAGAGGGTCAAAAGGACCCCTGATGATCCTCTAATCGCCTGAGCCAAGGTGTGAAACTGGGTGTGGGTCCCAATCAGCCAGAGTTTCGGGTGAGCTCATTGTGAAACCTGGCCCCACCCTATCATGTGATTTCCTGAGGTCAGATGACTCTCCACCATTTGACCTTAGAACTGAAGAAGCTTCTCGGATGAGAGGTGAAACGTCTTCAAGCAACTTAAAGAAGTCCAGACGCTTTTCTTTGCAAGCTCCTTCGACTACAATGACCTGGATGACTGAGAACCTTCACAGACATTGTACAGTATCTTGTGATGTGTTGTAAACCTGTAATATTACAGGTAAATTAATATTAATTTGTCTTATATTAAAAACTAAATAGTTAAAAAACAGGTCACTGACAAGAGATTCATATTTGTATGCACGTGTCTGGAAACGCATAATGAAACGGATACAGACACCCAGCCCTTATCAAATGTGACAGATGATACCTGCAACCCTAAGTGCAGCAAAACTGCATTGCATGCACCAGCCACTTTATTAGGTACACCTGTAATTGCCAAGAGCAGCTCAAAGCATTTGACAGTGTAGCTATGATGAAGACAGCCTGCTGACGTTCAAACCGAGCATCAAAATGAAAGAGGATTTAAACGACTTTGAATGTGTCACGATTGTTGTTGCCAGATGGGCTGTCTGAGTATTTCAGAAGCTGCTTATCTGCTGGGACTTTCTCACACATCCAGAGTTTACAGAGAATGGTCTGAAAAATAGAAAATGGGTAAAAAGTATTCAGGAGAGTGTCTGTGATCGTCAAACCGTGAAAGAGATGGGCTGCAGCAGCAGAGACCACACCAGGCGCTGCTCCACACCTCTTTATTTTTGATTTCTCAGTTAACATAAGCTTAATATTGTAATAATGGACTACACAGCACTAGGAAAACAATTTCAGTGGACAAGATGTTTTTCTGAAAGTGGTCTAAATAATTTAGAGAAGTGCTCCCTTCATGGCATGTTCTTCATACCATCAACAATAGCAACTCAATGCAGAACAGCTACCAAAACCTGATTTTCATAGAGGTCGATTATCTCTTAATACAGCTCCATCCTCACTGTGGACGACCTTGGACACTGATGTTCCTCTAAAAACATGAAGGCAACAACTTCTCTGGCATAACTCAAATGTGCTGCTTGAAGTAGTTGGAAGTTTGCGAGCAAATCTTCATTTGGCCTGGAAACCAATCATTTGTTGGTCTATAAAAAGCTCTTCATGAACCAGGTGATCTCAACATTTATCACTGATTAAAGAAAATAAGAACAATGGCAGGTTTCTTGGCATTAATGTGGGCAGGCTAACAAACAGTCAGAGCTCTGCTGAGCTGAATATTCCTTCAACTTAAACGAGTAATTAATTAATGTATTTACAAATAATTTTAACCATTAAAGAAACATTTACATCCATACGGATTAAATACAGCAACTTTAGTAACTGCTGATATTAAAACCAACCTTTCCAAACCGACTTCAATAATTTCTTACTAAGCCACTAAAAGAGAGCAGTAGAGTTATCAGACTATATTTGGCTGTAAAAATCATATAAACATGTTGCCTAGTGAGATACTCATGCTCAGGATGGCGTGACAGCCTCCAGTAACAGTGTATAAAATCATGGAGTCATTTTTGATCAGATCCTTCAACGCGTATATTAAACAAACATGTAGCATTGCTTTCTTCAACAGTAAAATATCTCTAAAATTAAAAAAGCCATCTCAGAGTGATGCTGAAAAACTAGTTGATGCATTCATTTCTTCAACAGTAACTCCTACAATTCATTTTTATCAGGTTGTTCTAAAACATCCTACAAAAGCCTTCGGTGAGTCCGAAGCGCTGTAGCAAGAGTGCTGACAGGCACAAGAAAGACAGACCATATTTCTCTCACACTCACTTTTCTTTATTGCTTCCCAGTTAAATTTAAGTTTCCTCCCATACAAAGATAAGACCCTATCATATCTTACAGTATCATATCAGCCTAACAGAGCACTTCACTCTCAGAATGAATGCTGACTTGTTGTTCTTAAGACTTGAACAGGATTTCCAGTAATGCATCGACAGATGTTCATATACCACTGCAGCATATCCTGAACATGCGTCTTCTTTCTCTTTTCTTCTTCCTCTCACCCCCACCGGTCAGATGGATGCCCCTCCCTGAGCCTGGGTCTACCACAGGCTTCTTCCTCTCTTCCTTTGTTGTCTGACTGTTGGGCTTTTCTCCCAAATACTGCAAACTCTTTACACTGCTGTATAAAGAGCCTTTAGGTAACCATTGTTGTGATATAAATAAACCTGTATTGAATTAAAATCTCCGAGCACCATTACCTGCACCCTGCTGAATCAGCAAGGTGTAACTAATGAAGTGGCCAGTGAATTTTATAGACATGGAAAACTCCACCATCATATAGTTCCTGTTAAACCAAATATATAAACATACTGTGTGAAAGTGTAGTAAACATCAGTAAACACAAAACTGGACGCAACATCCAGCCTAGCCAGAGAGGCTGTCTGACAGTGTTTAGATTTAATAACATGTTGGTTGTGATATTAAAACTACACAGCGTTGCTCGAGGGTTAATAACACGCAGCCACAACAATGACTTTGTTGACAAGAGTTTAATTAATTTAATGACGTAAATGTACTAAACTGCAGTCACCACTGGGTTTGGACAGGGCGTTTTTCACAGGTAGTGAACGACTGACATGGTGCTTCTCTTCATAAAAATAGCACCGGTGATTGTCTGACAATTGAGGACGTTGTGGAGTGAGAGGGTATTGACCAAATAATCAATCAGGATAATGCAACCCAGTCATGAAGTGTGTTGACAGCATTAGCACAGTTCAGGATGGGGATGCACTCTCCTACATCCTGTCTGATTAAAATGTTTGAAACAAACGACATCATGTATGTTGACTGCTATTTCATTATCACAGAATAATGTTGACTTTCACTGCAAAACCACTGAATATTCAATTGAAGGAAAATGCCCTGCAACCAGTATAACGCTACATCGGAGGATATGACTTTGCTGCTATTTAAGACGGGTCAAAGCAGAGTGACTCGTTAAGAGTTTGTTCAGGGTTTTAATCTGATAGTTTTCTACAATCTCATTTGCCATTACTGCATGATTACATACGAGTACATGAAACTGGATCCTCTGTACAGATAGTTTCAGAAGATACTTCCTCTTTTCGGTCCTACCTGGCTAAAATAGTGAGTGCTTATTTTTAAAATAATCAACTTTCTCCTATTTTTTAAGTCAACCAGCCAACTGAAAACACAAGAAACTTAATATGTTGATGTGCAGCTTCCAGGAAGTCTAAAGGTTAGAAGTGTATAAAATGGCTACGTAGATACGGACAACAAGGCCAGACTAAGAAGCTCTGTTTTGGTCACATCAACAATCTCCTCCCTCGTCTCGAGTGTGCAAACTTTACTTCAACTCAACCTTTGATCCCAGTCATGTTAGAACATACAGTGAATTCACAAACCAAGGACAAACAGGTTTACTTTCAAACGCAGCAAACCAGCACGATGAGCAAAAAGCAACCAGACACTTTCTTTTAACCTTTTTATTGGTCAACAGACATAGTTCTGCTTTTTATCCTTCATGTCTTTAGACATTCACAATTATAAAAAGAAAGCTCATTCTTCCAAGGCTCCCTTGTTATGAAGAAGAAACAAACACACAAGTATGACAACTGCTGCTATCTAGTGGACAGCAGCCAAAACTGTAAGTGCTCAGAAAAGGAGAAGTGCTTTACTGGAACGTAGCAGCAGATTTATGAGTATGTGAAACTCGTCAAACTACGTCAACAAACAGAGACCCGTCAAACCAAATCATGTCAGATAACCAGAAACAAAGGTAAAGCAGGTAAGCAAGGACGCACAGGATACATTTAAGGAAAACTATCACGAAGGGTTCGAGGCTCTTACCCTGAGTCGTACGCAGCCTCTTCTGGATCCTCGCATCATCTTGTCTTTTGACTGTGAATCAATAAAACAAACAGTCAGGGATCAAAACATTTAAAGTATGAGAACATGATGTGCATTTAAATGCAAGCACATTTTTACATGTTTATGTTCGGAAATTTCAATAATTCCAACAACTTTCAAAAGTCCAGAAGTTCCAAAAGTCTTATTATAAGAAAATAGAGAAGATTTCTCCTAAAATAATAAAAGTAAATGGCAGAAAATGTGACTGATGTCGTGGCTTAATAATTCATGTTAACCATATTTTTAGAGTTACTTTAAAAAAGTTTCTTACTTTTTGTTGAAATGAATAACGCTCAGAATAAATTTGGACATGAGCAAAACAGGGATGCAAATACAGGCAGAAGTAGAGGTGTCTGTAGCTCAGGAGGGAGTGCAGGTCATTTACTAATTGATCTGACTGCTCCAGTCTGCGTGCCAAATACCCTCGGGCAAGACACCAACCCCGAGTTGCTCTCCGATATATCCATCAGAGCATAAATGTGTGTGAATGTTAGACAGAAAGCACTGTAGTAGAAAAAGCATAGAAAAAAAATCGTGTGCTTGTGAATAAGGCATGTTGCAAAAAGTGCTCAGGTAGAGTATAAAAGTGCTAAATCAAAGCCAGTACACACACTCACCCTGCGCATGAATGTCAAATACATACATACACTCTCTCTGATCTTGGAATAAGTTGGGCTGAAGGTTCTACAGTGTGTGTCTGATAACTTCTCCTGAGTGATCACGATACACTAAACTGGAGATTTCTCTTTACCAGGATAAAAAATAAATTTTTTGACACTCACTGGATGAACCGACATTCAGAACAATGGCAAAGTCAGCTCTGGAAATCACTTGAGCCATTTGTAGACAACTGCAGATTCCAAGATCATCATTTTAAAAAACTATATAAATACAAATTATTCAGTTCTGTCAGCACTTCACTAACCTACGGAAGAAGACCCTGTCACCCTCAGATGAGTGACGCTTGCTCAGGATGTTCAAGAACCATGAAGATTCAAGCCATGAAGTGTAAAAGCGCTGACCAAGAAGTCGACACCTTCGAGCTCAACTGAAATTGTCAGTGGCCCACACGGACAAACCAAATGGTGTCTAGAGAAACGTTTTATGACCGAATGAAGAAAAAGAAAATTGAGCTGTTTGGATGCAATGGTCATTATTTTTGCCACTATTACAGATTTATTTTTGTAGACTAAAGGTCAAGCTTTCAAACCTAAGAACATTGTACCAACTGTCAAGCATGGTGGTGGTAGCCCCAATATGTATTCAAATTCTGCAAAGAGTTAAAAAATATCCAGCCACAATTATGCCAAAGCTTATTGATGGTTACCAAAAGTGTCTGGTGAAGGTGCAACCCACCAAGAAACATCTAACCAAATAATAGTCGGGTTGTATGTATATATTCGAGCCGCTATGTGTATTTTTGGCCCAGTGTGGATTAGAAAATCCTAGATAAATTCAAGTTCTTGTATTTTAAAGTTCTTAAAGAAATAAGTTGTGTGTAAACTCCTGATCACAACTGTAGCGGATATATTAGACAGAGAATCAACAAACTAGGGCTGCTCAATTAATCGAATTTTAATCACGATTACGATCTGGGCTTTCAACGATCATTAAAAATGACTGAGCCAATTATTAGCCCCTCCCTCCCTCATGCTTTACTCTTGCGCTGCTCCGTGTGGTAAATCGAGCGCACCTCTCTGCATTTCGAACACGCATCACAACAATTAAGAGGACCCGAGGGAAGCTCGGAAAGCTAAGCAGAAGTTATTTGGACAGGAGAGTGACTGCCTTGGTTGAAAAAAAGAGGTAAAAAAAAAACTTCAGTGGTGTGGAAACATTATGGGTTCATGGAGTCAGACGTGGATCAAGTAGACACAGTGTGTAAACTTTGCTATGGTGTCGTAGCTGCACCACAGAGCAACACTGCAAAGTTCACTAAACATGTTTGCATTTTTCATTTATTTCTTATATTGCAAACATTTGCACTGTTATCAGTATTTGCACTATTTTATATTATTTTTTAAAGTCATTATTCAATACATTGTTATTATTAACCCTTTAAAGCCAGTCAGAGCAGCATGCTCTGTTTTGTGTAACTATTTTTAAATCCCTGTAGAACCGGAACCATGTAAGCTAGCGCAATAATTTGTTTTGCATATGAAACCGGAGGAGTTGTACTTACATCTGATGCCATCAGCTTGTCCTAAGTCACGGTTTGCTTCCACATAAAGCTTTGCAAAAATTGCATAAAAAGCACTTGCAGGAACAAAAACATAATATTCCAGAAACACTTTGCCGATCTGATCAGCTGTTCTTAACACTTCCCACATTGAAAAAGACGTCAACCTGAACTCTCGCATTTCCTGCCCGAAACCGGAAGTGACGTCATTTTTGCGGAAAATGTAGTTTTTTACTTGTAGGCCTTAAAAGCCTATACTGGTGTTTTTATAAGTCATGTTTGACTTTTCTGAATAGATTCCGTGATGCTTAGAACTCGAATTGCACTGCTGGAAATAGTTTATTTTGATGCACCTGCTGTTTTCTTTGCAAATTTGCATCATAGGATTGTTTTTTTTTGTTTTTCCTGCAGTATATATAAAAATTGGTGTATCTCCAAAATAAAACTATGAAGATACTCAAAATAAATTTCCTGTTGTTGTAAACTATTTTTTGCAACTTTTTTGTATTTAAAGTTTTGAGGGATAAACCTCTTAAATTTCTCCAAGTAGAAATATATGTAAAAAAAAAACAAAAAAAAAAGATTTTCAATTTTTTTTGTAGTTTATTGCGCTTTTTTGCAATTAATGTAATTACTATGGACTTAATGCATACATATTATTAAAATTTGGGCTATAACAGTTGTATTGATGTATAGCAACTTGAAATGCTCCCACAAATGGCACTACAGCATGTAAAAAAATAATATAAGCTCTGGCGGACTTGGTTCTATGGTAGGTCTTAAAGGGTTAAATAAATATCGTCAAATAATCGTGATCTCAATTTCAGTGAAAATAATCGTGATTATCATTTTTGCCATAATCGAGCAGCCCTACAACAAACTGATCAAAGACCCACAAGACAACACACATGCCATCAATACAATGTTGGACCGCCAATCAGGATTATTTGAGATCCTGTTGGCAGATTCTTCTCACACCTCCTCCTATCATGGTGACGACTATAATTCAGCACACTAACTGCAGTCACGGTTACCTGACAGCTCAGGTTACTGTGTTCATCCCTTCAGAATAACACTGTCAATCGCTCTCCATGTGAACAAGAGTACATTGATTTCTTTTTCACTCTGTCAGAGGAATGGACGGCACTCGCTCTTCCCTACAGCTTGTTTCAGCGGTTATAACTTTTGCCTGGTTTACAGTCCACATTATATACTGCTCAAACACCCGGTGAGGTTAACTAACCAGCAGCCACTCTCTACCTTTGCAGTGTAGCTTTATGGCTTTAAGGAAACTAGTGAACGCTGTTCGCTTGGTTAACTATCAGAACAAAGGTCGCCTCTCACGCATCCACACACATTTCTCTCTTCATTTCCCCTGACAGTTTAAACGATCCATAACTATCTCTACGTGAATACTGTGGGGTTTTAGCGTGTAGCTGTGCTAGCTAGCCGCAATTGCAGAAGCATGGGCAAAAAATGCTATCACCCGATTGGTCAGTTAGCATTCGAAAGCCTCTGCTATTGGCCAACGTACGCATCCGTCACCAACAGAGACTCGCCTCGCTTTGCCAGCTGAGACTCCCAACTCCTGACAAACACAAGGCCCTTCTCCCACTTCTGCTGGCGACCAGCCGCAACTTCCACAGTCTAACCTCCTGAGCAAGACATGCTGACAATCGCAGCCGAGATGAACGTACCGTGTAGTACGACAGCAGGCCGGCATTGTAGTCCAGAACAAACCAGCGATACTGCCAGCCTTTCATGACGTTGGTCCACTTGCTGAGCGGCCCCTCCATGATGGACGCCATCTTTACAACAGGCTCTGGGCGGGGAGGAGTCGGATATGGTGTGGGGTAGGCGTCATGGTATGAGGAAGATTATCGTTCTGATGATGATGATGACGCTCATCACATTCAGCATTCAGTGAAAATAAAGTAAGAGTAGTCACTTGACCAGGAGATCATGCTCTGACACAAAACGACTAAAACTATAAATAAATAAATAATCATCCAAGTAAAAGTCGTTTCCAGTGATTTTGATAAAGATGTTGTTATTATATTATTGAATCTTACCTTTTTTTTTTATATCCACAAACGTGTGAATTACCGGAGTTCATTTTAAGTGTCTGCTATGCTGTCCTAGTTTCATCAATTTTTTTTTTTACAGAAAAAGTCAAATACACTACAGATGCTATGTTTGCTTTGACAGTGCTGATGGAGAACAGTAGAGAGAGTTGCAGGACATGTATGATGGTTGTAATACAACAGGGATTGGATCTGAGTCCCTTCTTGGTTGCCATGGTGATGGACAGGCCAGACCAGGGGCGCATCCAGAATTTTTTCATAGGGGTGGCCATATGGGGGCCACTTAAAATATTGGGGTGGCACACCAAAAACAGAACGGTGCATGGGTGCTGCAGAAGGGTGGGGGTGACAATGGGAATCGTGAGGGGCATACAAAAAGCCCCTGGGTCAGACAGGAGTCTCTGTGGACTATGGTGTGTGCAGACAACGTTAGTAAGGGTAGGGAGTAGGTGGCAGAGAGCCTAGAGAGGTGGAGGCATGCTCTGGAGAGAAGAGAGAATAAAGTCAGTGTGAGTGAGATAGAAGACGTGTGTGAATGAGAGGGAGAAAGGCTGAACGATAAACATGGAAAGAGTAGAGGTAGTGAAGCTCGATGAGTTTATACACCTGGAGTCAGCCATCCAAACCAAAGGACGGTGTACAAGAGAGTTGATAGAGACAGGGCCTGCTGCTTGACAGTAAAGATTTTCAACTTGAATATTTTATTGATCTGTATCCAATGTGTAATTTTAAGTGTTCCTTAAGCTTTTGAGCAGCATATTTTACACAGAAAGATTTAATTCAAATCAAGTCAGTTTTATTTATGTAGTGCCAAATCACAACAAGAGTTCTCTCGAGGCGCTTTGTGTTGTAAGGTATAGACCCTAAGATAAAAAAGAGAAAACCCCAAATAACAAATGGCCCTCATATTAGCAACACTTGGCTAACATCGTCTGTTCCACTTGAAATTTACTGCAAATAAACCACAAACCAAACAATATTCATCAATATCTTTATTATTTACAATAGGCTTAACACTGATAAGCAAAACTTCACAGTAATATAATGTGAGCTTTAAATAAAAAAAACAAAACACAAAATATATATTTTGTACAATAAAAAAGTTAATGTTAACATCTGCCATTTTTCATCCCTGTTTAGTTTCACATATTTCATTACGGTGTGTCTGTGTGTTGATTTTACATTGCACTCATACAACTGAAGACGCGGCCTTTGGTATATTGATACGTACGCACGTTCTCCAGAGCTGTACTCCACAACAGGGAGACATGAGAAGACAAAATAAACAGATCTACAGGATCAATGCAGTCAAAAAACATAAATAAAGTCAATGTAAAGGACTGAGGATGAGCAAAAATGTTGTGGTCAGGCTTAAATATTAAACAGCATTGGTCTTGAGATCAGGCTTGTGAGTTGGTACGAAATCAGTTCGCTGACAATCAACAATTGAATCCTTAAAAAATAAAATAAATAAAACTGTTTGGAAAAGAAATGCGTGATTTCAGGATTTTTTCTTTCACCATCTAAAAAGGCGTATCACACAAAGTAAAGAGGAACTAAGGCCAATCTGGTGCTAGTCAGTTCTAAAGGTTTTAGACTGAAGTGTGATCAGATCAGGCAGATTTGTGTGACCGGACTAACAGCGCTAACAGCCACAAATAAACCCCATTAGTTACAGATTTTCCAAATAGAGTCCGACTGATACAATTGTTGATCCAATATTCTTTCTTTCAGACACACAGAACTAAAAATATTTCCTTAGCATTTATTGGGGTAATCTGTTCATGTATTTATTTATGCTGTGTTGCCAACATGAAATTCGCAGAGCACCCTCTGGTGGACAAGATATAGAATATCAACATTCATAACGTGGTTGAAGGGTGTTTCTCACATCTCTTCTAAATTTTAATGCATTTATTACAAATGCTGACACCAACTGGCAAATATCCAATATGGCCAAACAGCACATGTTGGCATCGGGGCGTTAACCTCCAAATGACAGAAACCGGCAGTGCAGTGACAGGATTATAACGATGTCATTGAAATCGAAACATACGCATGAGTTTTAATGAGGGACTTGAACATTCTGTGAGTCCTCGCAGTGGACAAATTGTTTCACAAAAAGGCACCAAGAATTGTGAAGAAAGGTGGCATTTTTCATTTCATGTTATTTTAAATGCACAAAAATCAGCTCGTCTAAAAGCATCCTGTTTGGCAAAAAAGGGCAATTTTACTGACGCACAATAAGAAGAAAAATTAAAGGATGAAATGCACCACAAAAAAAAAAGACATGCCATTGAAAGGCATTAAAAGTGTTACGGACTTGCAGCAGTGTTTACAATTTTACATGTACAGAGCATGTGTCAATGAACCAATGAGATCGAGGCTGTATCCAGTGTACATAAATATGAGAACCAAAGAAAGGAAACAAACAAAAAGGAAAATAATACAAGTTGTGTATGTGCTGTACACAATTCTGCTTGTGCTCAAAAAACAGAGCAGATATCTCTGGACTTATTTAGTGTGATCGAAACAAAGTATGGGCCAGTAAGTTAAATGGAAAAAAGAATATGGCACCTTAAGGGATTAAAGAGACACGCAGTTGAACCAGGTTGAGAACAGAAGAATACATTCATAAAGCAGATAATCAGATCTGGGTGGATGGGCCTTGAAATACATCTCTTCAGTCAGAAACATTGTTTTTTATGCTGTGACCACAGATAAATCTTTTGATTGCTGGATATGAAAGAAGTCAAATATTTACATAGCTTTTCTTTTAAAATAGGTCTGTGCTTTAAAAAAACCCCAAACAACAATAATTTAAAATTCAAGTTCATACATAGACATTCTAAAAAGCATTTTTCTGTGAACCAAATAATGTACAAATTGCTCATGTGCTGAAGACATACTGCAGTTAGTTGAGAGATCAGTACTGTGTGATTAGTGTGAAGTAGGTCTCTGCATTTCGCAGCGTTCTTACACTGAAGAATGAGGCACTGAGGCCATGACTAGGCTACAGGGAATCCAGCACTGTCCACACTCGCAAGGACACTTATAAAAACACTGTCCCAGTTCACCTGCTCGTGTGCTACCCTGTGCTCTATCTTTCCTCACTCCACGTGTTTCAGCTCCATCGTGCAAAACAACGAAGCAGCGTGCGAGGATAACTGGACACGAATAATGAAATGCTTTAAGGGGCTGGGGAGATTCCCCATTCTTGTGGCACTACGTTAAGGTGTGGACATCAGTCACAGAAGCAAAGACAAATTCTGTGTTCGTTCATTATGTGTCAGTGCTGTGGGGAATATCTGTGAAATGCACACGTTTACTTTTGTAGGCAATCGCTAAAACTTTTATTATGATTAGGTGGACATGTGGAAATTTCACGGTTACTATTGAAAAAACAAAACAAAAGCAACCAGACTTTAACCCCACACAAGGGACAAAGCAGGTGTGGGTGTTATTTATAACCTTTTTACACTTGTCCAACTGGCCTATGAGAACACCCCCCACCACCCCTCGTACCTCGAAGGAGTTCACATGAATGTAATTTCCGAAATGGCTCACGATCACTTGGTTCTCCAGACACAGAGGAAAACGGTACACTTACATATTTGTAAAACAATTCTTGAGTTTAAATTGAGGGGAAGCAGAGTGAGCTTTACCTACTCTGTCGGCTGGCTACACACAGCTGATACACTCGACATTCAGGCAGCAAGGACGCCTTTACATCAAGGCCACGTAAAAAGTTGTGGTGAAACGTTTTATGGTGCGACTTGAATTTAGTTTGGTATATTATTTCTCAATATGTACAGGTTAGAGGAAAATTAGTGTCCACACTGGCATTTTATCAAACTGATTTGTAAACAATTAAAAAAAAAAAGTTATTTCTTGTAGTGATAGTGTGAGGTACAGCAGAGGTGCGTCTCGATCCGTCCCCAGAAAGCTGTCAACAGAACCTGAAACATAAAAAAGGAATCAAAGCGACCTGTTGGGTAGTTAGAGGTGAAGATTTGTGGCGTCACGGTGGCTACCTCTGCACTACGTCACTAATCTCTTTAATACAGCCGTGTAGGTTATCCAGTACAGTGTTGGACCCCACGCCACCCAACCCCCCACCTCCTGACGACGAGGCTCTCAGTTCTTGCAGGCTGAGCTCCAGCTTCCCCACTGCCTCTCGAAAGGCAAACTTGTTCCTCATCTGAGGGATGCAGTCCACATAACCTGAGCAGTAGTCTAGCAGCTGATGGCCAGCGTCCAGAACCTGGCTGCTGGAGGGGCTTTCGGAGCTGGCGTGGAGTGCGCTGCTCAGGCATTCCGCGCAGTCCAGCAAGGCCTCGCGGCTAACCCGCTCCAAGGGCGCCCTCTCCACTTGCTGCCTAGTTCGCCGCAGTGCCACTTTGGAACCAGCAGACAGTGCTGTGTGCGAGGGGGCAGTGGTGGTCGCCCCATTGGCCATTTTAGTGGGCGTTGTGTTTGTGGTGGCAGAGCAAGAAGAAGAAAAGGAAGAAGCTGGAGGCACTTGCGGTGGTGGCACTGATGGTCTGCCTGTCATCATTCCTCCTGACATTCGCCCTGACCTTTGACCTTTTAATGTGTCCCCATTTACTTCCACGGGCATTCCTCCGACTTGCTCTTCTCCGTCGCCGCTGTAGGAGTGTTGCAGACTGCGCAGAGTAGGGGGAGGCGGCGGCGCACACTTGGGTTTGACGAGGCGTGGCTTGTCTCGGTCTGCTTGGTGCTCAGACAGCAGTTTAAAGCGGTTCCCCTGAGAGTCTAGCCCGACCAGGTGCACGTCACCTGGGCTGTGCTTCAGTGTGGGAGAGATCAGCACTGGGACTTTGTGGTTGTGAGTCGGCCCACCTGCTGCAGCTGATGACATGCTCAAGCCCGAGCACTTGGAGGGAGATGTCCAACTCTGCTGCCTGTCCAGTCCTCCACTCTCCTCTCTACCCTCCCTGACTCGGGACAGGCTGTCCGAATCCCCAACTTCCCCCCCGACCCCCGGTGCCCTCACCCCTACAGCAGTGCCCCGGGGTAGTAGCTTGGCTTTGGGCCTTTCCCTGATCTGTGCAGTCCCCTCATCCATCCTCCTCAGCAGAGTTTCTGACGGTCGTGCAGCCCCGTTCTCTGGCTGAGAGGTTGTTGAGGCAGTCCTCTCCAGAGGCGGTTTAGCACTGCGGTTCCTGGGTAACGTCAGAGCCATGCGCTCCAAATCAGGCAGCCCAGCTGACATTGACGAGGTAGAATTGGACCTAGGGAAAGGTTTAGGCCCACCAACTATATTTCCACCCTCGTCTGCGGAGCATGTCTTTCCTGTCCGTAGCCCCAGGGTCTTTTTAATGAGTCTAGGGGTAAAAAAGCCAGCCAGCCCACTCCAACTGCTACCACTTGTCACCTGTGAACCAAAGCCTCCCCCAGAGGGTTTCTGTCCAAAAGCTGCCCCGCAGCAGCGAGACTGTGCCTGGATAGGTTCCCCATGTGAGTGGGAAGGAGACGCAGAGAAGCCCCCTAAACTGTCTGACTGGGGCAGGGGAGGAGGAGCACTGAAATCGGGTGTAGGCTCGTACTTTTTGTGAGGTTGTGTCTCCATCTCCCGGAAGGAACTGCTTCTCTTGGGTGGCATCGGAAGGTTCTGTTGGTGCTGAGAAGACTGTGACGAGGAAGATTTCTTTTTGATAAATGAGCTAAAGAAGCCAGTCTTGCGGTCTCGTGTAAATGTGCCCACATCCTGTGCATCCTCTAAAAGGCTGCTGGGAGATTTATCTCTTGACTGTTGCTTTCTGGGGAGGGCTGGGGAGGTGCCTGATCGGCCGTCCCCTCCGAGCAAAGATGACGCCCAACCTGGAAAGAAAAGAGGAAGAGGAGGAATCACAATCATACAACAGACCGACTGAACTCAGCAGGAGCACAAATATCTGTTAAAAGCTTGCTTAATAGCTTAAAAGAGACATAATGAATAACTGCTTTTTGGCTCGCTCATCTATACATCAATGTCACTCATGTCAGGCAGCTGATGCTGCTGTATCCTGTATCTCCGCCTTTGGGATTCACAATCTGAGAAAAAGCATTCGAAGAAGGTGAACAGACTTGTCTTTGAGCCCGTGCCAGTCAAGGAAAAGCACACAGTAATTCAACGATTCACAAGCTGCTGTTTCAAAAGATAATGAACACACTTCAGGGACTGAACAACAGAAACTGCACAACTTCTCCAACATGGAAAGCTGCTGTGTCACTACGCTCAAAGAGGAAGCTGCAATTGTGTTACACTTCTGCTGACCTTTAAATCGGCACAGAACGCCGGGCAGCTTCACCAAACAAGCAGATGAAGTGAAACGAATGAAAGAGGAAGCTGCAAACGCTTTTTCATTACATTTAGAAAACCTGTGATGTGAAGCAGCAGATAGGAAAGCAATAAACCTCAGACACACAGTTCCTTATCTTTAGGAACATCATATACATTTAAAAATAAAACAGAAAGAGGAAATGCTGAGATTCAAGATGTTCATTCAATGTTTGTGCACTGATTATTTCCTTATGGGCACTTTCACGATACCAGTGACGAACCAAAATGGGGTTTTAGTGGACTTTAGTTTTGCTGTTTATTGTGCAACAAAAACTCATTGACACTTCTTTCTTTATTGGTGAATACACAAGTTCTTGGACCAAAGCCCTAAAGACTTATCATAGAAGCATATTTGGTTTTCTTTCAGTTCATTTACACTTAACTTCCTGTGGTTGCTCCACTTAGTTCCTGTATTAGTTAACAGACACAGGTAAACAGAGGCATCAACGCCCTCCCCCCAGCACATGGAAATGATTTTTATTTCAGTGAACCAAAATATTTATTGACACCTTGTTTTAGTGAAGTACGACCACGTCCAGACAAAACTGACAGTCACATAAGGAGGTGAAGAAAGGTACACGCAGGCAAAGGGTTGACAAACCATTTTACACACGAGACAAACACACAAAAACCCAACACAAAGCAAATAAATAAGTAATAACTTAAAATAAGATACAACGTTATGTACATTTAATATTAGTGAGTGAACAGTGAAGTATTGATGTATCATCAAGTATTAATTGGAGGAATAATATTAATGGCACAAATAGACCAGGAGAGAAAATAAACAAAAGCTTATGTTAATCAGATGATGACTGTGTCACAGTGAAGATGCAATTATTTATTTGAACATAAAGACAGGTTATTGTATTAGAGGAGTTTGAGTGCTGGTGTCTTTTTACTTGAGGATGCTGAAAACATTCGATTTTAATGCAATTAAAAAATACAGCTGTACAGGAAACTTGCAGAGTGAGGCTGTAATGCTGTTAAATCTCAGGCAGGACAACAGTCTGAGGATAACAGACTAAAAACGAGATGTTCTGTGATCGTGAGAGACGAGAACGTCATTTTAACCCCCGTGCACAGAGCGCACTCATTCTGTATTCCTTTTATTTCATTGTTGAATATTTACTCGTTTGTGGGGTTTTATGCTTATTTAGTGTGTGCAAGCTTCATGGGTGATCAAAAAAAAAAAAAAAAAACATACTTAAAAAGTGCTTATGAAAAATTGATCAGGCAGTTAGACATAAATATGCTGACCAATGAATGCATGCAGGCTTTTGCTGCTGGTCGGCCAAATGAATGACAGATGTCAGATGGTGATCGATCAGCTGTCGGGGAAAATGACGGCCATTCTTTTGAGGCGGCGGGCCAGACGTCGCTGCAGCTGACTCTCTGAATCAGTGTCCTCTGACGTACCTGCAGAATCATAAAGTGAGGCACCCGACTGGTTGGTAGTGACATGGGCACGGCTGGCTGTACCTGAGTGACCGTGCGTGCAGTGGTCGGTGCGGCCGTCCAGTCCACCCTCGATGTTTTCCTTGTTTTCTGTGTGCTTGTGGAGTGGGCGAGATTTGGAAGGCAACAGGGGCATATCATGACTGAAAGACTGCAGCGGCCCGCTGTGATCAGAGGATGCTGTCTTACAGAGCTCCTCTGCCACCTCTGCAATGTGCAAAGAAGAAAAGCATTCAGCTGAGAGGCATTTACTACTCTAATCCAGCAAAGTACACGCTGCTCGTTTACTGACCAATTAAACCTGAATATAGGAGAGTGAACAGAAGATTCCAGTTTGTTAAACTCCTGTTTGCACATGTTCACTTGTTCTTTCTCTACTCTCACATATTTAACTGAATTACCTGAAGCTGTGTTACTAAAGGTCAGTAGGCTAAATAAGACCCAGTTTGCATGATCAGCCAAGTCAGTGCATGTATTTCAGAGTCACAGTGAAGGTTTAGAGGCTACATGTCATAAGCTGCACGTTCCTGTACCTTCAGAAATGCTCGAGCCGTGAAACATCGTTTCGAAGGCTTGGTGGATCTCTGCAAACGAAGGTCGATCCAACGGGCTCCACTGCCAGCCTGACAGCATGACACAAACACAAAGACGAGAAAGGTTTTATACATGAAAGCAATGAGACAATAGCATTCGACTTCAAATCGGTTATCAAGCCGTCAATCTTTGTTTCTTTGGTTTATTTATACTCTTTTGTATTTCTTGAAAGACGTTATGCAAATTTACACATAATTGCTGTTTCACTTCATTCAAACATGTACAGACGAGCACTCCCTGCGTGTCTCTGAAATGTGGAGCAGCAACAGTCAGGTAAAAAAAACATGCACTCACATGCCCTCATCAGCTCATAAACTTTGGGCGGGCATCCCTCAGGTTGCTCCATGCGATAGCCTTTCTCCAAGAGATCGTAGACCTGAGACAAATCGATACCCGGGTAGGGAGACATGCCATAAGTGGCAATTTCCCAAAGTAGCACTCCAAAAGCTGTCGGAGAAACGAGTTCAGAGGATCAAAGATGAGCACACTGAAAATTAATTCAAGACGGCAAAACGATGCTGGAAAAGCTGCACTGCTCACCCCAGACATCAGACTTGATGGAGAAGGTGTTGTAGGCAAGGCTCTCCGGTGCGGTCCATTTGATGGGGAACTTGGCCCCAGCGTGGGCGGTGTAGGTGTCACCGGTCATCAACCGGCTCAGGCCGAAATCGGCAACCTTCACGACATGATTTTCACCGACCAGGCAGTTCCTTGCTGCGAGATCCCTGAGAGGTAAAGAAAACAACAAAATTGGACATTTAGAAAAAGACAAGTGAAATATTATACACGTAAAAGAAGCAGCATAAACACACACACACACACACACACACACACACACACACACACACACACACACACACACACACTACCTGTGTATAAAGTTCTTTTTCTCCAGATACTCCATGGCAGAGGAGATCTGCGTTGCCATGTATAGCAGCGCAACAGCATTCACCTCATCGCGTTCACACTCTCTCAAGTAGTCCAGTAGGTTGCCATGTGGCATATACTCGGTCACAATGTAGAAAGGAGGCTCTAACGTACACACACCTGTGGGGGACAGACTGGTTTAAAATAAATACTGAAGGAAACGTGAAAATTACGGAAAATCAAAAGTTATCCTCAAAATGAAAAAAAAAGGTTTAGCAGCATTCATAAATACTGACCCAGCAGCTGAACGAGGTTTGGGTGTTTAACCTCTTTCATAACTGCTGCCTCTTTCAAAAACTCCTCTACTTCCATGGTGTCTTCCTGTCATTGCACAAATAGAAACAAAAGAAAACATTTTTGTTAAAATCAGTGGTCTGGACAGAAATGGGAAATGGTGCAGCAACAATAGGCTTAATCACATGTAATACCACTGTCCACCTGCAGGTGGTGGTCTGTGATCATTTTTGGGTCATGCCCTATAATTCACAGCTGCAAATATGAAAATGTGACACTTTAGAGCTGCAATCTCAGATAAACAAATAGTCAACATGTAGAAATAACTCTACGCACCTTTAGTGTTTTGACAGCCACAGTGAGGTTGTACTTTTTCCACACTCCGACATACACCTCCCCATACTGGCCTCCTCCCAGCTTGTGCTTCATGGTGATGTCTGTGCGCTCCATCTCCCACTTATCATGGATGGGTGACACACCGTACACTGTAGGCTTGTTACATTTGGGTGCAGGGTAGTGCAGCGTGGTGACCAGACCATCAGGTACAGTGGAGTGGTGATGGACCAGCTCGGCCAGAGTGGCGAAGCGGCTTTCGGATGTTACGTACACCTGATGGGGAGGAAGCATGAAGGTGGATAAGGATGAAAAAGAAAGAAAAAGGTCAAGATTATGAACAGACCGAGTCTGTCCAGAAAACATCACTCTAGTGAGCCAGTTTAATAATTTAAACCCAATCCTTCTACCTTTCCATCCGTGGCTGTGTTGATCCGGTAGTGGTACACTCTGCCCTCATAGCGCAGAGATATGGACAGCTGTCCGGGGCTGCTCTCGCTTTCTCGCACCAGAAAACTGCCATTGATAAGTGATGAGAGCAGATACTCTGCAGCGCTGCGGGAAACGGGCCCGTGGTACCAGCTATGCTTCTCCAGGCTGTTGACCGGTGTGATGTAGTTGGAGGGAACCCATCCCTGACCGTTTTTAGACCTCACTTCACTCCACTCTCCATTCTGGTTGTAGCCCAGCACACGCAGCTTCTCACCTGAACACAGAAGGAGTGGGTTGTGCAAACATATTAAAAGGTGCCGATTATAACGAAGGAGTAGTCAGCTTATCGGTATCTAGACAATCCTGTTTTAATTGATTTGTTGTCTGTTTTGTTACACAACATGAAAGACAACTAGTTCAAATAGTCACTACATTCCTGTAAGACTTGGATAACAGGTCAAACAGAAAGAAGAGGTTTCATGGGCATGACTCGCCCCTCAGTGAAATTACATCAAAAGCGATGGAACAATAAAAGGGTTGGGTGCACATCATATCTGTCACAGAGGGCCAGGCAAAACTAGGCCTGTACTGACTTGGTGTGTTGTCTCTGTCTGCCTCTGACGTCAGCGCGAGAGAGGGAGCGGAGAGGCTGATGTGCTGGATACTTTAACAGGGAGGCACAAGAAAACACTGAAAGGAGCGGTGATCAGACTTGCCAGTGGGACACAGGTTTAGGAAAAGAAAATAGCTTAGTGTGGAAAAAAACGAGGGTAGATGTAGGTTAGGTGTGATTGTAGAAGAAAATAAAAGGAAGAGGATATTAAGGCTATCCATCTTTTACACTCACCCTCCACTAAAACGCCAAGTTTACTCACTAATCCATTAACCTTTCAGCATCTTTCGTCATGACGGACTGTGTTGGTCTGTAGGGGGCATTAAAATAAAGCGAGGGGCTTTGCTGGTGCAATAAAATTGGAAGCAGGAGGTCGATTGGAGAAGCAGATGAAAGTGGACAGAAGTTTATAAAACTCACAAACAAGATTTTGCAAAGCTTATCTTCTATCACAGCTTGCAGGATAGAAACACACAGACTGTTCTGACTCTTTGCTTTGGCAAAACAGGAACATTACTGCAAGACGACCCTGCTGCCTCCTGCACTGCTGCGGTCATTTTTTAAACACAGGCTTAAAGTTGATTGAACATAGTGTTGGGCTATCATTAGTTAGTTTAAACTTTGAGAAATAGCAGATACAATGATTCTGTAATAGGCTGCTCATATTAAGCACTGCAGTCCAATAAACACTTAACTAAAATAGCTGCAGTGTTAGAGCCATATAACATTCAACTAACCAGTGCTACAGGGCTAGCTCATAAAACTAAACACAGTGTACTAGCAATCAGGAGAACTACATTAAACAAAGATGGTTATCCATATCCAGCCCACTAATCCACTGGTCTCCTCTGTGTCTGCCTTGTGTGCCCCTAGGTTTGTTAAGGGAAACACTGACTGTCTTGCTGCATCACACTGGGAGCCACATGTGCCTGAAGCAGGGCTTTGGTCTGGCCTAGCCTAGTCAGGTCTGGCACAGAGAAGAGACAATGATTAGCCCCAGACATGGCCTGTTAAGACCCCTTCTGTGACCGGCGTCCGCCTGCTGCGCTCGTCCACCTGTTATTATTACAGTCAAGCCGATTTCATATTAACACAACATTAAAGGCCCGCTGGGTGTTTTCCATGCAACAGAGCAAAGAGTGGGACAGACAGCAAGAGAGAAGTGGAGCCTGGGAGCGCACATGTGCATGCATGTGGGCAGGAATCTCAGATTTACTCCATGAGTCAGGGTCTAAACATCATTTCCATCCCAGGCAGCTGCCATGGAAGTCTTAAAACGATGGATAATTAACGCGCTGCCACATTAAACACATTAGACTGGATGGTGACAGAAGCCTGGATGTCTGAAAAATATTACGAGGATATTTTAAGCTTATTGCCCAGGGGAGAACTGGATGAGTGGTTAAGTGCTGCTGAATGAGAGAAAAGAGGTCTGGACTAAAAGTGTGTGCATTAAGAGGCAGAGCGAATAAGATATTTGTAATTATGGCAAAGCATGAGCATCACTGGTGTTTCAGGTATTATTCAGTGTGGAAACTATAGCTCATAAAACCTCAGCTGGTCATGTGTGGGTGTCTGAGGATCAGGTTATTGATGATGTCATGAGATAAGCTCTGTTGACACAGAACATGCCTTTGGAATAACTGGACGACACCTTTCCAGGTGGTGCCAACTTGATCCCTGTGCTCTGTTGCAACACGTGCTGTTTAGAAAGGTGTGGGTATAATGATCAATGATGTGGAAAAAAAGCTCAAGCGCTCAGTTGTAACCAGACAACAATGTTTAGCGATGATGCACAGAAAGAATGAAGTTTTTGTGAAACCAGAGGTTGTGGCAGTGAGAGAGTTAGTAAGAAAGTATGAACCATCTAAAGAGGTTATTCAGTTTTCCCCCCTCCAAATTCAGACTTGGGTTTACCTTTGGTGATGCTGAGTGTGTTGTCTCCACTAGCAACAAAGTCATAAAGTGCAACAAAGAGGTTAGGGTCGCTCTCGGTCGCGCCCAGAAGGTTCTCCTTGGAGCTCCAGCGCACCGCCTCTGTCAGAGCTTCTGGTAAGAAAGGACAAGCAAAAGAAAAGACATCACATTACTATGATTATCAGAGAGATTTGATTCACACAGGTGAACAACAAGACCACAACTCCACTGCTGGCTGACACCTTCAATGAATTTTGCCAGCTTACAATCCTCTTTGACAGAAACTGAACACAAAAAGCAGCACAGCAGCATTTATTGCGACCCATAAATCCTAAGGTTTTTCCATAATCCTAAGACCCCATCCTGCTGCCCGTCTACCTGTCTTTCGAGGTCGAGTCCCCAGTCTGAAACCTGTGCGGAGTTTATGGCCACTCAAAGCAGCCCACTCATCTTCAAAACTGCTGCTTGCTTGCAGGCACCTCAGAAGCATCACTTCACTCGGCCAACTCTCCTTAACTCACCTATCTCTAGCTACACAAACAGGCCTGCTGTGGGCCAGGTACAATCTGAGATGGGAGTGTCTTTGCATTTGTATTTATGAAGGGAAAAAAAGAGGAGGAGCTATTAAACCAAAGGGAGGGGAAAGCACATAAAGAAGGGCTGAATGACATACACACAGAAATGTAGCTAACACGTACATGCTCTACAGCTGCTCCCAACATTGCTGCATGTCTGGACAGCTGGTTAAAGAGTGGGAGAGGATTGGGAATGAAGGGAAGCAGGATAAAGAAAAGTCACATCAGTACAAGAAACTGAAAACAAACAGAGAAGCTGCTACATGCATGTTTTTGCCATAAAGAGGATGGAAGTCGTGTGCCAAAAGTGATCGAGTAACCCCCGATTGTATAGTTCATCTTTAAACATATACAATGTGCTTGTTAAATAAGAACAACGCCTAATCCATGTAATATGCTTGTAGAATGTTATTTTACATTTTAATTAGTGAGAAAAGCATTGCTTTCTCAAACATACACAGATTGTAACTGAAAGCAATAACCCTAAACTCTGAGTCATATTCAGAGTGAGATGAGTTTATTCTGGAGGCTGTAGTTTCCAAACGTATAGGATTTCACTACTGATTTATGTTTATAAACAAAACAATACAAAACCCCAAAATGATGGCAGCAGAATAAATGGAAGTGATATAACACATGATGTCACCTCTCGCTACCACATACATGTACAGGCAAATGTTTAACAAAGAAACTAGCTGATTCATAGCAGATTTCCTCCTCTGGGATCAGCGTCACTAAAGTCACTTTGACTGTCAAACCAGACTGTCCTGTTAAACCATCGTTTGAACCGACTCAGTGTTGGCACTTAGAGGTCGTTTTGAACTACTTACTGAAACAGACCATCCTGCCATGCAACAGCACTGCCACTGAGACCACAGACATGCAGGTTATGTTCAAGATGACACAACACGCACCATCTACTGTCCAATCATCACCATAGCGTCATGATTCCTGGAAGATCCCAGTCAACCTCATTACACAGGAAGTACAAAAGGGACTCAAGTTTTTAAGAGACCATCTAAATTCTTGCCTGATGCGTCTGATGCAACAATGATAAATTCCTCCGAGTAACAGATTTGCTCTTTATTTCTAATATCAGCAGTCTGCAAAACTAACAAAAACACAACTGCTGTCATGCTACAAACACAAAACCTAGAATAAAAAAAACATGATATTGGCTGTAAAACTGAACTCTAAAACCAGCAAATGGGAGAACAATCACAGACAGCCCAGACGTTCACAATTCTTTTGGTAGACGAGGTTCTGATGAAAAACTATATTTTAATTAAGCCTGAGAGATTAAGGAAAAAGCTTTATCTAGTTAAACCATGTTAAAACGCTGCGTTTCCACCAGAGCAGTCCAGTCAAATTTAAAACACTGAGTGGCAATTATGTTTTAATCACAGACACACAAAGCTGGCAGAAATTCATCAAGAAATGATCTTTTTTCCCCTTTCTTAGCCTTCATAATTTGGCAGGTACACAGTCTACATGGGAAAAGCTCTCTGCTTTCATAGCAAAGGCTGTAAACACAACCGAAATCTTGTCTCAAACAATGCAGCTGTATATTGTCTGTTCTTTCCAGTATCTATATTCAACACTTGCCCACCTTTGTTCCGGACCAGCATGCACTGCAACGCAGCACTAGCTGTGACCTGACTCAGCCACAGTTCCCAGTACATCTTCTGCTTTGGGTTGGATGGCAAAAAGCCTCAGTATCCACAAAAACGCAGTTTCTCTTCATTCACTGTGACTCCAAACTGTTTTTAAAAAAACATCCAACTGTGTCTCAGACAATGGAGACTGAGGAGCACATTACTCTGGCAAAAAAATGACTGAGGAGCTCAGGACAGTTCTCCAAGTCATCGCCTTCACTGTGGAGTACGAAGATTGTACACACAGCAATCGGAGAGCGAGAGAGAGACACAAAGGCATCTCCAGCCAAATTATTTACCGATGTAGTCTTTGACTTAAGCCACCCCGACTTCTGTTATTACCGTAGTGAATACCAGCCTCCTGCTGAAATCTACCCACTAGCTTTGATGTGGCCTAAGGGAGTCAAGATTTCCAGAGTCCATCTGGAGAACACAGACACCCATGACTGATGTTTGGAGCCTGAACCCACTCTGAAAGACGGCAAAAAGCGGCAGAGAGAGAGAGAGAGTGAGCGCAAAAAAGACATGTGGTTGGGGGCCATGCATATACAGAGGTTTGGGGGTAGGGCAGGGTATATGGCAGTGAGGAAGGACGTGTCCATATGTGCGTGTATGTGTGCTTGGGGAGTGTGTGAGAGCTGTGGCCAACAGCAGATGGCCGGTCTTGTTCCTCTAGGGGGGAGAGGTCCTATTGACCCACACTTTTCTTCTGATGCATGTGCATAAACGATCATGGCTCCAACTGCTGTAGTCAGGCTAAGCCAACTGTCAGAGCTGCTCCTCTTACATATCTATGTATCAGATTGCGCTTCCCAGGAATGTCTAAATGAAAAAGAGACACAATGCCATTTCTCAAAAGGTCTCAATCTGAGAAATCTCAATTCTAGTTACAAGAGAAAGAAACTCCATCACTAATTATTCCAAGGCCTCAACCCGATCACATTAAATGATGAAATACTTCAGTCAGGCAAAATGCTCTTGGCCTCGTATGCTGAAATGTTTGACTGAGCGAGCAGTTGGCCAGCGCGGGTACGTCGTGTGCCCGTCCGGGTGCCTCAGTGAGTGCGTCTGCTGTGATGTGCAACACATGTGCGCACTGAAGAAACTATGGCTTTGTGCTGAATGCTGGAGAGCGGGTGTTTGTGTCTGTGGGGTATAGCAAGCCTGCACCCCCAAGACAGCTGCGACAGAGGTGACCCTTGTACCAGGAGCACACATACTCACATATCAGCGATGACACCCTTCCCCTGGATGCCTCAACAGCTGTTTGAATGTTTGCGCCTACAAGTGTCTATAAAGAGGTCACTTTACCAGCCAAGCACCTTGTGGGGAGTAGTAAACAACACAGTAATATCTTCTGCACACCCTAATCAAAAACAATGCTGATTGTATCTTAAGCCCGTGACCAGTGAGGTCAGGTGGTATTTTCAGCTGCTGCAAAACAAAACATGGCAGCATGACATCCAGGAATAACTCTGCAAAGCACACAGTGACGACGGTGTGATGATAAACGGCTGGCTGAATGCCGGAAGTGTGAACAAAACCCTCATACAATACTGCGGATGAGACCCGCTTACACAAGACGTTATGTGAGCCTGACAAGCCTGATCAGATCCTGCACTGTATTCACTCCATAATCCTGGAAATGACAGACCTGGGGGCTGAAATGCATGCTATAACCTAGGGCTGGGCGATATGACCCAAAATTCATATCTCGATATTTTTTAGCTGGATGGCGATATAAGATATATATCTCGATATTTTTTTTTTTAAAGCCATAAGTAAAACAAAAAGAGAGTTCTAGTCACACTGTGTCCCAGATGTCACACGGGCACTTTTATTTACATACAGCGTAGATGTACATGAAAAAATTACTCAAAAATTAATTATCAGCATTTATTAAATAATCATGGTCCATAAATAAAAGAAAACAACGTTGTTTTTGTGCATAACAAAAAGCTCACAATTGTGCAGTCAAAATGTAAACTAATAGACGCTGAGGTTAATAACAAAGAGACAGATTTCACAGCTGCACCACGTCTCTGAACAGGTGCCATTTGTGGTCCTTATACACACACAGTACGTATCACTCCGCGAGGCTCCTCCCCGGTAGCCGTAATCCTCCGACAATCCATCAAGCGGTGCAGCTCCGAGCTTAGCAAAGTTAATTAAAACATTTGACAGATTGCTGAGCGCTGTGTACACATAAAATCGGTTCGCGTCAGTAAGCACAACCAGAATTCATACATAAGGCGCGCTGTCGATTTTAGAAAAATGAAAGGATTTTAGGCCGTGCACCCCTCCGGGCCTGCATGTCGTTAGCGCGGTTAGCTCGTTAGGGCGGTTAGCTCCTAACACTTGACGCCGCCCAGCCCCACGCACGGTAACTCGCTAACGAGATTTTCCGCTTTCATCTGTCATTGCCTGCAGGTGAAGCTATGGGAGGCGAGTTGTGTTCAGTGAAGGAGAGGCGAGGCCGAGTAACGTTGCGTAGAGACAAAAGTGGACGAAAGAGAGGCAAACCTGCGGCTCCACAAGTATAATTATAACGTAACATAGACATATCGATATAAACGATATTGTCACATCTTATATCTCGTATGAAAATATATCGATATTTTTTAAAAAACTCGATATATCGCCCAGCCCTACTATAACCTGGCACCACCAATTATCCTTTCATATTCAATGACGATTATCCAGTTCTTCATAATTCAACCTCAAATCTCGCAAGAGTTTATGATGTTTTTCAGAATTAGAGGAGACTTTCTAAGACATTCATGGAGAGTTTGAAGTCAAGAAAAAGCCTTTCACAAATGTCCTGGACATGTGGCTTTACATTCTGTACAGCACATTACGATGTCTACTTTTAAACATCTGGATCAAATAGGAAATCCACAAC